AAACCAGCTTTGATTACCATCATTTAATTTGAAGAACTTGACACCTTTTGAAATTATAATAAACTGTAACCTTAAAACTTTGAAGAATTCGATGACCTTAAAAAACAGATGAGACAATAAAACCAAATAGCTAGATTTTTTTCTAATGTTGACATGTGGTAATTTTAATGTTCATGTGCCGCCCTAAAATTATAAATTTACTGATTCTGTGGACAAAGGTATTTATTGATAATCTTTGACTCATATTGTCCAAAAAGTTTAATTTAATTGAGAACCAGAAAATAACACAGCATCCGATTTCAGTGACATTATTTTTATTTAGACCAACTAAAATCTTAAACCACCGTAAAACCAATCTAAATATTGATGAATTTTCTTATTGAGCTTATAATTAATTTATTGTTTAAACTTTTTCACATTCAATAAGTAATTTGAAATGATATAAAATCAACCAGTTTTACGAAATTCATTGAAGCTTTCATATTCTCTAGCCAGGTGTTTCAAATCTAGTCATCTCCCAATTCACAAACAAATCTTACTTCATGTGATCCATTTGCAGTATTAATAATATTCAACTTATTTAAAACTTGATGACCTTAAAAAGACTGATAAAACAATAAACCAAATAGCTAGATTTTTTTCTAATGTTGATATGTGGTATTTTTAATGTTCATGTGCCGCCCTAAAATTATAAATCTTACTGATTCTGTGGACTAAGGTATTTATTGATAATCTTTGACTAATACTGTCCAAAAAGTTTAATTTAATTGAGAACCAGAAAATAATGCAGCATCCGATCTCAGTGACCTTAATTTTATTTAGACCAACTAAAATCTTTAACCACCGTAAAACCAATCTAACATATTTATGAACTTTCTTATTTAGTTTATAATTAATTTATTGTTTAAACTTTTTCACATTCAATAAGTAATTTCCTTTCTTGTTGAAATGATATAAAATCAACCAGTTTTACGAAATTCATTGAAGCTTTTATATTCTCTAGCCAGGTGTTTCAAATCTAGTCATCTCCCAATTCACAAACAAATCTTACTTCATGTGATCCATTTGCAGTATTAATAATATTCAACTTATTTAAAACTTGATGACCTTAAAAAGACTGATAAAACAATAAACCAAATAGCTAGATTTTTTTCTAATGTTGATATGTGGTATTTTTAATGTTCATGTGCCGCCCTAAAATTATAAATTTTACTGATTCTGTGGACAAAGGTATTTATTGATAATCTTTGACTCATATTGTCCAAAAAGTTTAATTTAATTGAGAACCAGAAAATAATGCAGCATCCGATTTCAGTGACATTCTTTTTATTTAGACCAACTAAAATCTTTAACCACCGTAAAACCAATCTAAAATTTTGATCAACTTTCTTAGTTAGTTTATAATTAATTTATTGTTTAAATATTTTGACATTCAATAAGTTAATTTATACAAAGTCAACTAGTTTTACGAAATTCATTGAATCTTTCATATTCTCTAGTCATTTGGTTTTTCAAAATTGTTTCAGCATCCAATTCACAAACAAATCTTACTTAAAACAATAAGAAACTTTCGGGTTCTACTTTTTTCATGACATCATACTCTTCTAAAGTTAATGAATCTTCTTCATCGTATGGATATTCATCTTCACCTGATGCAAGGTAACCTTCTTCTTTTAAAGTTGATTGATCATATTCTTCTAAAATTGATGTATCATATTCTTCTAAAAATGATGTATCATATTCTTCTTCATCGTCTCCAAAATATCCTTCTTCTGAAATTGAAAAATCTTCATATTGTTCTAAAGTTGATTCTTCTTTTTCTGGATTTTCTTCTGGATTTGAGATTTTGACATTACACAATCTGAACCATTCAAGCCAATCGTTTTGAGTTTGTCTATCTAAGGCTTCTTTTGTTTCTTTGGTGTAATTTCCAAATTCATCTAACTTTACTGGTAATCTAGGTCTGGTAACTAATTTAATCAAAAATCTTTTTCTTTTCATTTCATCAGTTAATTCTTGATTTTCTTCTTGTTCTTCTTCTTGATTTTCATTAGTTAATGGTTCTTCTTCTTCTTCTTCTTCTTCTTCTTGATTTTCATTAGTTAATGGTTCTTCTTCTTCTTCTTCTTCTTCTTCTTGATTTTCATTAGTTAATGGTTCTTCTTCTTCTTCTTCTTCTGAATCAACTTCAAAAATTGTTTCAAGTTTGTTGGATAAAACTTTAGTGTTTGAAAATTTAAAAGATTTCTTGAATTTTTTGAATATTTTTGATTTTTCTTGCTCTTGAATTGGATCTAAATGTTTTACATCTTCATATGAGCATTTTAAATCTGGTGAATTCAATTCAGTTGATGAAATTGATTTTTCATCTTCTTTTTCATCTTCTTTTTCCGAAACCTTTTTATTAACGGTCAAAATATTTTTAACCCTTTTTTTGGTTAAATAAAATTTTTCTGAAATTTTAAGTGATAATGAGCCAAGTGTTCTGACGACACAATTATGGTCATTTTTCTTTTTAGCATCTTTCCATTTAAGTCTTGGATTAGTACTCTTGCCCCATCTTTTAATTTTGATGATATCTTCAGGACTTAAGTTTGGATCATCTTGACCTTCCAAATAATCTGATGCAATTTTATTATGGGTTTCAATTTCAAGTTCCACTAAAAAATCTGGTGGAAATTGTTTTCTGTACCAATTGGAATCCTTGATTTTTTCAACAATAGTTAATTTTTTTGTTAATGCTCTTCTTCTTTGAAGAAAAGATTTTGATGTTTCTTGGCGAATGCATTTTTCTTCACTTTCTTTAATCATTTCTAGAAGTTCCTGGTCCATAGTTTTCTTTGGTTGAGGTTTTGTAATTAATTCTCTTGGTTTTGAAACTTCAACTTCCTTAAACCCATCTAACTTTTCCAATTTTGGATTTTTCTTTAAATAATTAAGAGCTTCTTTTGGAGAAACTCTATACCATTCTTCAACATTTGCATATAATTCTCTTGGTACAACTTCATAGACANCTTATAAATGTCTTTTTCGTCCATTGGATAGTCCGTTTTGGACGGAGTCATAGTATAAATTGGTGGTGGATCTAAATTTCTATCTTCAATTTTCACTTCTTCTAATTTTTCAGTTAAGGAATATGGTGGTGGGTTTAATTCTTTGTCTTCTTTAATTTTTAATTCTTCTAATTTTTCGTCATTATTTGAAGATTTTTTACCAATATTTTTAATTTTGGAATTGACATTTTTCAAAAATTTATTGGATTTTTGTTTAGTTTTTATCTTAAACAATTTGTATTTGTATACTCCATATTTATAATAATAAATGCCCATTTGGACTTTTTCTCTTTTATTTTTAATTAAAGTCATTTCAATATGTTGAAAGATAAATTATAAATTTTGAATTAATTGATAATTGTATATTAAATTTAGTCTTTAAAATTGATTATTTGAATTTGTAAAAAGTAATTAATACTGTAAATTTTAAAAAATTAATGTAATATTATTAATTGATGATTGTAATTATTAAATCAATTGATGTATTAGTTTGATTACAATTGATTTAAGTATTTGAATTTGTAAAAAGTAATTAATACTGTAAATTTTAAAAAATTAATGTAATATTATTAATTGATGATTGTAATTATTAAATCAATTGATGTATTAGTTTGATTACAATTGATTTAAGTATTTGAATTTGTAAAAAGTAATTAATACTGTAAATTTTAAAAAATTAATGTAATATTATTAATTGATGATTGTAATTATTAAATCAATTGATGTATTAGTTTGATTACAATTGATTTAAGTATTTGAATTTGTAAAAAGTAATTAATACTGTAAATTTTAAAAAATTAATGTAATATTATTAATTGATGATTGTAATTATTAAATCAATTGATGTATTAGTTTGATTACAATTGATTTAAATATTTGAATTTGTAAAAAGTAATTAATACTGTAAATTTTGAAAAGTTAATGTAATATTATTAATTGATGATTATATTGTTAAATCAATTGATTTGATGTATTTGATTACAATTGATTTAAGTATTTGAATTTAATTGCTGTTATAAATTTTAAAAAATTAATGTTTATTAATTGATAAGTGTAATTTTTATTAATTGATAATAATTATTAAATCAATTGATCTGACGTGTTTTAATTGATAATGTAAAGTATTAGTTGAATCTTCACAATTGATTTAAGTGTTTGAATATTTGATTTAAGTATTTGAATATGTAAAAAGTAATGATAAAAAGTAAAATTGACTTTTTTCTGTAATGCCATTTTTTTGTATAGTCTTTAAAAGACTTAAGTTAAGTTAATGGTTTTGTGATTCTTTTTTTTTTTAACAGAAAAAATTCATTTTTGTGTCATATAATGTCTCATATTATAATTAGTGAACTAGATTTAATCAGTATATATTTGAACAATATAAAGTTTCAAATCCTCATTTAATTGAATTATTAGAAATTGATTATCTTTTTAACAAGTTTCTTTTTGAAATTGTAATTTTATCTTGAACAAATATTTGGTGTTTAATGAATAATAATATACCTTAAATTTTGACAAATTCAATCAAAAATTAGATAAGATTCTAATTTCAATCAAACCTGTAAATCAAACTCCCGATATAAAATATAAGAATTATCATCTTGATAAGTAGTCCAATATGAATATATAAATAACAAAGTCTAATTTTGATCAAAGAATGAATAATATGATTGATTTTGGTTCGACATTCTGAGCACTACCAAATTGAAGATATAATTTTTATCATACTCTGACATTGTACCATGAGACTCACCATTAAATAAAAAATAATGAAATAGATAGTACTTTGATTTTAATGTTATCAGTCTGTCCTAAAATCAAGTTGGTGTATTTGATTTATGATGGTTTGAGCCAAGATTGTCACAACATACAATTTAATTTTGAGTTTATCTCAAATCATTTTTGAATTTGATTTTGAGGCATAGTAAATAGAGTAATATCTTCAATTAAGTAATTGATTTGTTTGAACTTTGATACTCAAGCGACAGTTAATTTAAAAACACCAAAAACAAAAGTTTTCAATCAACCATTATATGATTTAAATAATTCTTTATCATGATGATAATTCGTTTCAATCTTATATTATCTGATACAATTTTCCTTTCATCAAACCAAATTTAAAGTCATATTAGTTCAAAACTTGTAATGACATCTCTTGTTCCAATTGTTTCGATTGTATGATACAGTTGTGAATTTTTTAAAAGTCTTTTAATTGTGTATACTGATTCTTTAATGTTTGTTTAATCTGTGATATATTTGATAATAAGCAGTATTAATTTTTGATATATCGGAATAAACAGTTTACTTCTATGATTTAAATAGCATGAAATTCAAATGATGTAATTCAAATAATTTCCCCTTAGAAAATCAAGTTACACACTTCATCTTTAACTAACACAATCAAATTCATTAATGTCCTGATATCCATAAAACGAATAATTTAGTACCAAACAACAAAAAACTTAAAATCAATAAGTACAATCAATTTAAATATTCTTATAAAAATAATTCTAATCCTTCGTATTGAAAATATCATTGTTTATTTTCATTGTTATGTCTATTTAAAAATTCCGTCTGTATTCTAAAGTCTAATTTGTATTGAGTCAGGTGTATTGGATTTTATTCTAATTTGAGTTCAATAGATTTATGACCTTCCTTTCAACAATTCCTTACGAATTAGATCAATGATTCAAATATTTCTTGAACTTATGATAAACTACTTGTTAGATCTATATCAGTCACTTTCAAGTGGCACAACGTATTTAAATATAATTATTTTTTAACAATGAGCCCAAAAGTCTGATGAATGTTTGATTAATCTTGCCCTTCGATCTAATCTCAAGATACACTAATATTGCCTTTCTTTTGGAATTTCGGAATTTTGAGTAAGTAAGAATTTATAATAGATAAATACTCTCTTTGAGCTTTTGAATTGATATCGATCATTTCGATATTCTTTGAAGTGTGATAGCATTGTTGTCCTCTTCAAATATTCTAAATTAACTGAATAAATCATGAAATTAAAATTGATCATAGATTTATCAAAAACTATATTTGACTTTATTGATTTAATCGATGTTGGAATGGCACGATAAATTTCGACTATAATGTGGGTGGTTGGTGGCCCGTCTTTTTATTTGATTTCATCAACAAGTGTTCGTGTCGATAATGATGATTTCTCATTATTTACAGTTGTAATTATTTAAACTTTCGTAGATGTCCAGAAATAATAAATTAAGACATAATTTTAGCGTCACTCACTCTATTATTATTTTGATGATATACTTCATACTTAATATAAAGTTAACTTTATTACAGTATTCAAAAGTCTTTATTCTACGAAATGAATGCTTCTAATTTTCCAAGTTGTTGGGGAATATTCGAATATCGTTAATGAAGGTAGAAAATAAAAAATTGATGGTTCAATATAATTTTTATTCTATTGGTGTTAATTTGAGTTGTTTAATTTTGCTCCTACTGACAATTATGAATTAATGAGAAATCAAAGAAGGCATAATTGATAAACGTATTATGTCTTCATTAATTGCTGATGCATGTGTTGATAAGAAAGATTGATTTGATCTTCAATCTTCATTGATTATGGAATATTTCAAATAATAAATAAGACCTTGACATCACTTATTAAATCAATGAATGAATGAAATATAATGGATATAAATGACTTTCCGGTTTAAGTATATTGTTTTGATATGAAATTTGTTGAAATTGCAACGATTGGTAAAGTGGATTATTAAATGGTGAAAAAGAACGACTACAAACTAAGTTATTGATATCAGTAATTGTGCAGAAATTTGGGAACATTGTAATTTTAAATTGGAGAAATAAACCTCAATTTATCGTGATAATACTAGATCTTTGAAAATATTACAATTTACATCCAGCTATTAAGGCATTACAAAACAGAGTATATCATAAAGTTCAATAAAACTCAATCATTAGGTATTAGCAGATCAGTATATCACAAATGTAGCTTCCTGATGCTGGTTAAATTTTTGTTTTGATAAGAAGAAAAGATTAATTAATTATCTACATAATAAAACAGAATAATGATAAAAGTTAAAGTCAAAATATTGTATCTGTCTAAATAAAAATAAATTTAGAATCAATTAGATTTAACTTGCAGTAATTTATAGTTTAAATTCTTGAAAAAATATCAATCAATTAGGTTTATATAAATCATACTGAACGGGAGTCAATAAATATAAAACTGTTATAAAATTTAAGTAAATTCTTACAAATGATAGATTCAACCAATTTATTATAATCAATAAAGAAAAACAAATCTAGTGAGTCTGAGGATAGTGTTTTGGGTCATTTAAAAACTAACCAGAATATTGAACAAAAAAGATTGGATGAATGAGATTTCTATTCAAATTAAAAAATCATTGATGATGAGTAAATATAAGGTTTTAAGACTTTAAATCAAAACTTTTGTAAAATCAAGAGCTTAGACCTTCGAATAGATATAAAATAACAATGATGATTATTTAAATTATTTCAAAATGACTATGGTACCTATTTGAAAAAGCAACCCTTGAATTTAAGAACTAACTCATAATTTGATTCTTATTAAAACCACTGGTAACACAGCTCATTTGCAAGAGAAAAGAGTATTCAAAAGAAGTTTAGCATAATTGAGAAACGTAATTGTTTATCATTCTACCTTTTATTTTGAGTGTATAACGACCAAAATAATTTTGAATCAACTTTGTAAAGTAAATGTAATTAAATTTACAAAATGTAAACATTAAATTAGTTCTCTTGACCTAAATTTAGTTCATTTTCATAATCGCCATTTACTTAATCAATCCTCAATTTAAATTTAAAGTATAAACGTCTGTTAATAATTTTTTACATAGTCTAATATACAAGTAATTTCAAAAATCAAGAATCAAAACCAGTTGAAAATTGAGATTTTAAGAATCTAGTATAAATCATCAATTATAAAATTAAAATAAAATCGCCTTGATTAAACTTATTAAATCATGAAACTTAAACAATAGAATACTAATAATAAATATTATAACAAAATTAAAAACCTTAAATGTTTTTTATCTATTGTTATAGGAATCTTCAAATCTATAATTCATGTTAAAGACAATAAGTTTAGAGATATTTTCATCTTATTCAGTTATAACTGTAAATCCCCGAAAAAAAGGGAGGAGGGTGTATAATAATAATCATGTTGTAATTAAACATGTAGGGGTCCAAAATAAAATTTGAATCAATTAAGATTATTTATGAATATTGCATTGTAGTCTAATGTAATTCCAAAAGTTTAATGATTTACCCCTGATTTTTTTAAATATATTTTTAGATTGCTTTGACATTTTGAAAATAAGTTAATTTGTATTTGTATTTGTATTCGTATTTGTATTGTAGAATTGTGGTCTTATTCTTTTAGCCATGAAAATAAATATGATTTAACGATATAGAAAATCGTAAATCTAAACTTTATTAAATTTTAAACTTATTAAGCTACCAATCAAACACAAAGCCTATTTTTGTATCCTCTAATTAATGTATTAAATGTTAAGTATTAGCCTAAGAATATAACCTATTGTCTTACTTTTCTTTCATTACTTTACTACTACTACTTACTAAACGTACATCATTCAACCTTAGAATCATGTAATTAGTGTTAAACTAAAAGGATTATTACATTCATTACATTCAAATATTAAAAATTTTCTTGGTCTAGGAAAGTAAAATAGTTTTATCACCTGTTGATTCAATCCTCGGAACAAATTTATCTTTCATTTAAAAAATACAAGGATATATATTGTATTATTAGACTAAGTAGTCTACCAATAAATATCATGAGAACCAGAGTGAATACATGAGTTAGATGACAATTACACGAAGAATTGAACTAACTAAGAAGAATAATAAATTGTAACTTAAAAATGTTTTATATTGGTATCAAAATTTGTTTTAAAATTTGTATTAAAATTAAATTAAATTTAATGAAGTACTTAGTCTTACACCTTTTACACCCATATTCTATTACAAATATGTATGTATGGAAGTATTTTATTATACGTATTACATACTCCAGATAAAAGAAATAAAACCTTACATAAAGAAAGAAAATAGACCAAATAGTCTATAAGTTTATATAATTTCAATATTATTTTGACTTCTCGATGTATGAATTAAAATTCTGCTAAATGTAGAAGTTTCAATATACTTACTTACTCTTAATTAATGGTTATGAGTGAAAAAGAAATAAAATAACTATTAGTCTATACCCAAATACTCAACTACTTACTCCAAACATATAATAAAGTAATAAGGAATGAAAGATTTTGTATAAATAAATAAATAAATCAACGATACAACCCTATATATACTAAAGAATGTAGCTATGTTCTAATCTTTTCATTACAAATTTAGTTTAAATGTTATTTCTGATGATAATAAAATAAAATGGTGATATGAATTATACACTTTGGATAATAAACTCTTTGACTTAAAATTTAATTTGGTTGAAATTGATTCTTAATGATTTGTTCTACTTATTATATTATAAAATGAGTTAGATCTCATGTTTTATTTCTTTCTATATCTTCTATTCTATTTAGTTTTGTTGTTCATTTATTGTAATACTGGTTCATACTTTCATACTTTAATATTTTTTTTTCTGCCTTTAAGTTAAATTGTTAAGCTAAAAATTTTTATTTTCATTCCTTAATATCATTTCAACTTTATATACATCATTATTCATTTAAAGATTGAAGGGATACTATAAGTCAAATCACAAACTTATTCAAATTCAATAGAAGATCTTATTTAAAGTTAAAAAGTCATTCATCATTCATTTATTATTACAAGTACAAGTACAATACAAAATTTTTCCTAAGATTTAGTTAGTTAAACCATCATTTAAATTTTTTTTTCCCTTCTCTATTGTATTATTATTCAATTTATTAATAGACAACAACATCGAATTGTTTAAAGAGAAGAAGAGGGATTAGTAGTTCATATTAAGAAACATCAACATATTTCATAATCAACTAGTACTTCAGTACAATCTTATATTCATCATACTACCCATAGTCTACTCGTCATACAACAACTTTTTATTGAGACCATTTTTAAATTGAATTTAGAAAAAAATACAAGGGGTGGTAAAAGAAGGAAATAAAGAACTTTGGGGGATAGTATCATCACATTATGACAGCTTCATCATTCAGTCCTACTACTACTACATTAAAAGAATTTGATAGTAATAACAATAATAATATATCTTTTAATTCAAAAACAACAACAAATTCAATAACAAGTAAAATAATACCGACAAAATCATCTTCTACTAAATCAACATCAAGTGATAATACTACCACTATTTCAAATATAAATTCATCTAATCTACAACAAAATAATCATCATAAATCAAACTCAAAACAATCTAATCCTCATCATTATCTTGAACAATTTGAATCTGGTCCATCATTAGTTGATATTTTTTATTCAGCAAAAAAATTATTAAATTTACAACCAAGAGTTGAAAATAGACAATTAAGAAAAATTAATAGTAAAACTCAATTAAATCATATATCATTATTAAATTCTAAAATGAATAATAATTCAAATTCATTTGATGATGATTTACAACAACAAGATTCTTCATTGCATCAACAAATTATAAAACAAGATTTTATAAATGATATTAATGATACAAATAATAATAATAATAATGTATTAGATTTGTTATCACCTTTATCAATAGATGATTTACAAAATTCAACTATAAAACCTTATCAACTAAGCCCAAAGAATAAATTTAAAGACAATAACAACAACAACAACAACAACAACAACAATAATAAATCACAATCATTAGATACTCAAGCAAATAATTTTAAAGCTATAACACCAAATTCAGAAACTTCACCATCATCAAGACATAATTCAAGACAAAATAGTAATACATCTTCATCAACTGCTACTTCAAGTATTTCAGAAACAGAAACTTTAAAACCAAAATCAAATTTAACAAGTTCTTTAAAAAAATTAAAAACAGAAGAATCAAAAATAAATTATCCATCAAAAGTTTCAAATGCTTCTACACGGACTCCAGAAATAGCTACGACATCATCTACCACTACAACCACCTCCCCAGCAACAACAACTGAATCCTCAAATCAAACAGAATGTTTTAATTGTAAAACTCATAAAACACCATTATGGAGAAAAGATGCAGATGGAAATACTTTATGTAATGCATGTGGATTATTTTTTAAATTACATGGAACAACAAGACCATTATCTTTAAAAACTGATGTTATAAAAAAGAGAAATTCAAGAAAATCATCATTACCAACTTCATCATCTTTAAATTCAAGATCTTTTTGTACTATTAATAATAATAATAACTCCAATATTGGCTCATTAAATGGAACATTTTCAAATTCAAAACTTGATAATTATAATGCTTTTAAAAAACAACCAATAAATATTGCACCATCACCAATAGTTTCTTCATTACCAAATAATTTATCAAATTCAATTTCAAATAATTTAAATAATCAAAGATTACAAAAAAATGTTTTAATATTACCAAAACCTTCAAATAATTCCAATATTTCAAATTTATCAAATTCGTTAAATAGTAAAAGTATCCCAATACCATCAAATAATGATCACTACAACAATCAACAAATAACATCTTTTTCACCATGTAATTCTTTAAATTCAAATTCTTCTTATTCATATATTATAAATAATAATCAACCATTTAAAAGAAAAAAATCAGAAGTTAATATATCAAATTCAATTGAACAAAATAATTCATTAATTAATAGAAATAAATTATTATCATCATCTACTACAAATTTATATCAACAATCATCATCTTCTCAACAACATCAACATCAACATCAACAACAATTTTCAAATTCACTTAAAAGAAATAATTCAATAATTTCATCAAATTCATTAAGTAGACGTACTTCATTAATAAATATTCCAAGAAAAAGTATAACTTCAATTTCAACACCAACAAATTCTTTAACTTCAAATAATATAAATTTATTAAATCAAAGATATCCACAATCATCATATTTCGATATCCCTCAACAACAACAACAACTGCAATCTCATCCATCTCATCAACAATCACATCAACAACCAGCACCATCTCAACAACCTCAACACACAATTTCTCGTCAAAATAGTTCAAGTACAATAATGAATAATCAAAATTTTAATAATAATATTAATTATCATCAACAAAATATAATAATTGATAATATAGATACTCCAAATTCATTAAATTCACCAAATTTTTATAATAATTCAAATAATAATAATAATATTACATCATTATATGAAGAAACTCCATCATCAATTCCTGAAACTCCAATTAATGTTATTGATTTATTACCTTCTTCATATTCTTCACAACAACAACAACAACAACAACCACATCCTCATTCATTCCAACAACAACTTCAAAATCAAAGAATTCAAAATCAACAATCAATAAAACAAAAAGTTTTACAAGATTATAGAGCAAGTAAACCTCCAATTACTCAACATCAAGGAATAGATGATGAATTAATAATGTTTGATCCAACTACAACAACAACTACTACAACAACAAGTACAACTACTAATACTACTACTTCAACCACAGCTGATAATAATAAAGATGAATTTTTTGTAACTAGTGTATTAAAAGATTATGATGATGAAGATGAAAGTAGTGAAGAATTTGAAATTTTAAAAAATTTAAATAATAATAATAATAATAATTTAAGTGGTAATAATTTAGCTATGAAAAATCAAATTGAAAATGAATTTTCAATTAATATTAATGGATTACCTCAATTTACTGATTTTTTACCAACTACTTTAAATTTAACAAAAAATGAAAATAAAGATAAAAAAACTGGAGAAATTAAAGATTTAGATTGGTTAAAATTTGATATGTAATTCATTTTATTAATTAGTCAAATTGATATATAGATTTGGAATTTCAAGATTGATACCCTTATTTTATAGAAACTGTAAGTATATCGAGTAAATATAAAATTTGAATTTGTTTCTTTTTCAATGCTACGAATTCTTATCAAAAACTCACCACATCTCAACAATTGGGGTAGATTTGATGATCGTATTGAATTGAAAACGTCACATAATTATCTACTTTGTCAAGAATCGTTCATCGTTTACTTCTAAAACCTTTTCCATGGATTATGAATACAAGATCGTTTAAAAACTTTCAACCTTGTGGGCTAAAGCATGTGAATATGAAACGACACAAAAATAAGGTATCGTGCGAGAATCTTCATTTTTTTTCGCACGAGTTACTTCGTGGTGTTGTTCTGTATGTTTTGGTCTACTCTCTCGTTTTATACGATAAGAACGCGCACTACTTACATAGTAAAAAAAAAAAAAGTACACGTTTAATAATTAACTAATTAATTTTGTATGTATTAGTAGTTAATGTATAACGTATAATATTTTATTTATAACCAACAAAAAATTTTTCAAAATTGTCTCAGTAAGATTAAAGTTAATTATTTTTTCAACCCGCTTTAATATTTACAACTTTTCCTTTTCATAAAACTATTAGATTTCATTAGATCTACAAATTAGAACAAATCACTACAAAAGAACAATCAAACAATGTCCACTGCTCCAGCTACTAATTATAAAGTTGCAGATATTTCATTAGCTGCTTTTGGTAGAAAAGATATTGAATTATCAGAAAATGAAATGCCAGGTTTAATGTATATTAGAAAAAAATATGGTCCATCAAAACCTTTAAAAGGAGCAAGAATTGCAGGATGTTTACATATGACTATTCAAACTGCTGTTTTAATTGAAACTTTAGTTGAATTAGGTGCTGAAGTTACTTGGTCATCATGTAATATTTTTTCAACTCAAGATCATGCTGCTGCTGCTATAGCTGCTGCAGGTGTTCCAGTATTTGCATGGAAAGGAGAAACTGAAGAAGAATATCAATGGTGTATTGAACAACAATTATTTGCTTTTAAAGATGATAAAAAATTAAATTTAATTTTAGATGATGGAGGAGATTTAACAAGTTTAGTTCATGAAAAATATCCAGAAATGTTAAAAGATTGTTATGGATTAAGTGAAGAAACTACTACAGGAGTTCATCATTTATATAAATCTTTAAGAGATGGTAAATTAAAAGTTCCTGCTATTAATGTTAATGATTCTGTTACAAAATCTAAATTTGATAATTTATATGGTTGTAGAGAATCTTTAATTGATGGTATTAAAAGAGCTACTGATGTTATGATTGCTGGTAAAGTTGCTGTTGTTGCAGGATTTGGTGATGTTGGTAAAGGTTGTGCAATGGCTTTACAAGGTATGGGAGCAAGAGTTATTATTACTGAAATTGATCCAATAAATGCTTTACAAGCTGCTGTTTCAGGTTATCAAGTTGCTCCAATGGATGATGTTGCATCAATTGGTCAAATTTTTGTTACAACAACTGGTTGTAGAGATATTATAGTTGGTAAACATTTTGAACAAATGCCAGAAGATGCTATTGTTTGTAATATTGGACATTTTGATATTGAAATTGATGTTGCTTGGTTAAAACAAAATGCTGAATCAGTTATAAATATTAAACCACAAGTTGATAGATATTTAATGAAAAATGGTCGTCATATTATTTTATTAGCTGATGGTAGATTAGTTAATTTAGGTTGTGCTACTGGTCATTCATCATTTGTTATGTCATGTTCATTTTCAAATCAAGTATTAGCTCAAATTGCTTTATATAATTCAAATAATAAAGAATTTAGAGAAAAATTCCCAGAATTTGCAAAATCTGGTCCATTTGATATTGGAGTTCATTTATTACCAAAAATTTTAGATGAAACTGTTGCAAGATGTCATTTAGATCATTTAAATGCTAAATTAACTAAATTAACTGATGTTCAAGCTGAATATTTAGGTATTCCACAAGAAGGTCCTTTTAAAGCTGAAATTTATAGATATTAAATTTTGAAATTTCAACTTAATTTTCCAAAATAATAATAAAATAATACTAATTAATAAAATTCAACAACATTATTAATTAATATTTATTATTATTCAGACTTAACAATAATTTGAAATATTTTATTATGAAACTTAAAAATTTTCAACACCATTTTTAACGAAAAAAAACAAACAAATTTTAATGATGCATCAACTGTTCATTTTTTTTTTATATATTTAAAACAAATTTTTTAATTCAGGTATTTTTAAATTTTTTACAATTAACTATTTTTTTATAGAGTATAATGAATGTCCTCAACGGATTTTAGGCAAATTTGTTCAATTGAAATTGTAGATTGAAAGATACACTCTTAATAATAATTATCAAAACATCTATTTTTTATACCTAACTAAACTTTTTATAAACTTTTTATACACAATTTTACGAGTAAACTTTTAAATTCTTTCAAAAATAAATGATTTCCTTCAAATAAATGTAAATGATTTCCTTCAAATTTATTTACTTGAAACATTAATTTTAAAAGATGAACAAGAGCCATCACTTAAATAAATATTTGTTTGAGCAGTTGAACCAGATCCTGAACTTGAACCTAAACACCAATCATAATTACCACCAAATCCAATTTCTCCATTTTTAATTTGAAATTGATTTTTTGATGCATCAACAGTTGATGAACATATAAAATTTTGTGAAGAATCTATTCCACAACCACCTTTTGATGATGAAATTGATATACCTCCATATGATGATGAACTAAAATGATAAGTTGCACAAGTTCCTGAAGTATAATATTTACCATTTGATATTAAACATCCAGATTTACCACTTAATGTAATATAACCAGTTGCTGGTACACCTGTTGGAGCAGGACCTGAAGTTTGAGTTGTAGTTGGTTGAGGATCAGTACCTCCTCCACTCCCTCCCTTTGGTGGGAACAAAATACCAGTTGAAGGACAATTTGAATTAGATAAAGGAGCAATTGGAATAAAATTTTGTTGTAATAAAGAACCTTTTATATGATGAAAGTACCAAATTTCACTTAAAGCATTATTTGAATCACATTTAAAATAAACATCTTGACCAAAATTTGAATTTAAAACTTGTTGAATTTGAGATTTACTATAAGTTTTTGAATTACTTGGTGTTATTCCAGCTTCAGTTAACCATTTATAAGTTGGTAAAGTTTCAAATAAATCATATAAAATTTTATAATAATTATAAACATTTTCATTTGTTTGATAATTTTGATAACATTTTGGTAAAATTGTATTTATACATGTACCATGTTTATTCCATTCATGAGCCCATAATGAATGATCTTTACCATTAATATCTTTCCAAACATTATTTAAATTATTATATAAAGTTTCATCATTGAATGAATCAACTAATATACTTTGTATAGTACTTCCATCATCAGGAATTTCAATAGATGTATCACAAAATTGTTCATATGTACCATCACAATTATCTGGCCATAAACCATGTAATGTAAATAAATCAGATGGTCCAGTAGCTGGATTATAATCCCAAAATTGAGTTTGTAATAAAACTCCACCTGGTGCTTCAAAACAACATGATGCTGCTGATGATGATGAGCATGATTCACTTACATCTGATCCACAACTACTATCAAAAACTGTTGCTGATGAAGTTAATTGAATTGAATAATATGCTAAAGTAATAAGAATAAATTTCATTTTTTAATTATTGTCTAAAAATTTTTGTCAAAACGAAGAAAAAAAAGGATTGAACGTGTTATTTATAATGATCAATGGTTAAGTTGTTTAATACATTGTTATTGTTTTATATTTAGTAATTATAAGTTTATAATGGATATTTCATATTCCGTTTTATCAAAGACACATGGGAAATTTGATAATGAAACAAAATATGATAATGACTGCATATAAGTTTCTAGTAGGATTTTGTATCATTTATTATTCTGTCTATAATTTAAATCAAATTCAAATATTATATAGAAATAGTCCAACGTTTTAATGGTTAAGTAATCCTAAATTATAAATAGAAAATGTCTTAACTAAGGGCTTATAAACATCACTAGTTTTACATTCAAACATTCCACTGGGACACGTTGAATCGGATATTTAAACGGGGCCATTCAATAAAAAGGATATTTATTGCAACAAAAGAACAAAGAGAATTTTGGTACTAAAAAATTTCCTCTTCTCAATTATAAACAATGTTAATTGGAAAAGTTTCATGTTAAATCACTTAATTTTATCAATGACATAAGTACAAATAGATTCAGGTACAAAAAATCAAGAATAGGAGTGAAATTTCAACTAATATTTCTGTTAGTACATACTAACATACATAATGAAAAAACGTTTTTTTTTCGTAAATCTTGAGCCCGTTCACCGTTCGTACTATCAAACTTTTGATGCCGCTCAAGTATAAAGCTGGTAATAAGTTATGACCTAATTAATACGTAATAAAAAGGAAGCGAAGAATATGAAGTTAACTAACTTGAAATTTATTTATTTATCTATCATGAAAGAGCAAAATTTGATCCATCAGATTCTTATCGATATAGTTTCATCAAATTAATCATTCTCATCAAATTAATCTCATTCGTTTGACCTGGTTGTATTATAATTTTTATGTTAATACTGCTATTATTAAAACCGTTCTCGATTAAGATATGATCTTACCAGGATGGAAGCAAAATCAATATCGTCCTTACAAAATTAATGTTAATGGAAAAGCAAACAATTGATATAGATCGTTTCGGAATCTTAATCGTGATTAATAATCACTAACATTTTCTTAAGCAGATGATGAAAATTACAGTCATAAATGTGTAAAATGTGAACTACTTATAACTCAACATAACTACTTATAATTTTGATAGTGATAATCATATATTCAAAAAATATATAATTCACACTTCAAACTCCTATGACTATAAACTCCATCATCATTTATAGTAATATTAGTGATAATTAAAAATTCAGTTCTTGGATCTGACAACTCAAGTAACTCAGCATATGTCATGTACAGTAATTCAAATTACTCAGCATTTTTCATAGATGGTAACTCACACAGCACACAGAATAAATCATTGGCTCTCCAATAACACGTTATAATTTTAAAAGACTCAAAGATGGGTTTGAAAAGCATATTTTGGATGATCATACTTGTACCTTCTCATGTAATCAGTTTAAAATCTTTATATATTTCTCTATTGAATTCAGTTTCACTGATCGTTGAATTAATCCACGAAAAACTCAATTATTGAGTTGCTTTGATCAAGTGATTGACCCACTTTCGTGGGGATTACTACATCCTTTTACTATAAATCTCAACTTTGACATCGTCGACCATTCAAAGATTAGAAATTGATTTGAAACCGTGATTGTTCAGACACGATCAAACGCGTTAACCAAATATAATTCGTGCCAAATTTCATTGAGTTATGGGATAGATCAGTGACAGGATTTATGGTATTATTGAGTTAACGATAATATTAAAATAACAGAAATCCCATAGAAAGGAGGATTTGGATGAATTCAATTAATGTATTAAGCACTACTCATACTAAGTATCACCTTTTCAATCACGCATTTGAAACTTCAACTTATGACAATCATTTAGTTCAATTTGTAACATTATATCTCAAACTAACGATTCTAAATCAATCATGGGTATATAAATGCTGACTATCAAGTCTGCCAATTGGAAATGCCCTATTCTTCATCTAGTAAACACGTCTATTTATTTCATTGAATAATCATGTAGATCTATAGAAAAAAAAATCAATTTTTTGAATTTTAAATTAAAATAATAATGTTTTGATTTATTATTATTATTTATTAAGAAATCAATCTTATCACAAGACATTTAAAATACATCAATACACCATAACTAACAATAGCAAAAGATGATATGGTTATCAGAGAGGCAAAGTATGTTCTATATCACAAGTTGCAAATTTTAGATATAAGATTGTATCCAAGATTATTTCACAATTAATTCTTACTAACATTACAATATAGAATTTGGAGTTGGTTTCACAACAGGAGGGATTTTCTTTTTTATGTTTGGTATAATGACATTTTTTGATTCAGGGTTTTTAGCATTAGGTAATTTATTATTTATTATTGGGTTAATTTTAATAATTGGTCCACAAAGAACTATAGCATTTTTTACAAGACCAACAAAAATAAGAGGTACTATATGTTTTGGATTAGGAATTATATTAATTTTAATTAAAAGATCATTTATTGGATTTATTGTTGAAAGTTTTGGAATATTAGGATTATTTGGTGATTTTTTTGGTACAATTATACAATTTTTAAGATCAATTCCGTATATTGGAGATGTTTTAAATAATCCTTTTATAGCCCCAACAGTTGATAGGTTAGCTGGAGTTAATAATACTTTACCTGTTTAAATAGATGTGGCAAAAGGAGATTCAATTGTATTAATAGTTAATAGATTTTCAAGATACTAATATATAAATAATAATGTTTTAAATGATCAAAGTCCTGATTGATAATACTGTTTATAGAAAAATAAAGTTATTAGTAACAAGGAAAGGCAGAGAAAGCGGTAAACTACTTATATCTTCCCTTTGTTTAATGCTAACTCCTGTTTGTTTTAAATTAATTCTTTGTCGACCTCAACCGTTTTAATCTCTAAAAAGTTGGGCAATAAAATGGCCAAAAATATTAACTTTATAAACCCTCTTACAAATTCTTTGTCTGAAATTGTCCCAGATAGTTTAGTGGCTAGAATTACCGTTTGTCGCATGGTAGACCAGGGTTCAATTCCCTGTCTGGAAGCTCTATAATCTGTTTTACGAGTTTTTTAAAAAACGTAATCAATTATTTAAATTTTTGACTATTTAATCAAACGTAGATTAATTTTGATTTACTAACTTTTGACAAATCATCAACCGATTGTCAATATGTGCAACTGTTCTTGCGTAGATCATCCCCAAAACAGTCTTAGTGACATTAATTGATTTTTGATTTTTTGTATCATCTTATGATTAAAGTGAGAAAACCCATTTCTCATCAAATTTCTTTCTTTTCTTCTCTCATATATTTTAAGCCAGAAGGAATCAACATCAATAATGTCTTTTTAACATAACAGATGGCTCCAAATAGACGAGAAGAAATCAAAAGAAAACAAGAGCTACAAGCAAAGTTTCAATTTAGTATAGCTCAAAACAATAATTTAGCATTGAATTGGCTAAAACCTAAAAAACAAGTAGAGTCAGAGGCAGAACAACCTACAGATGATACTCAAAATGAATTTTTAAAATTAAAAGTTATTCCAAGTGGGAAAAGCTTAGCTTCTGCTGGCAATAAAGTACAAACAGTTGGTGATTTTTTAAATTCTAGAGACATTAATAATTTAAAGGATACTAGTAATAATCAAAATAATGAGACCGACAAAAATAACGCGAAAAATGGTGGAAGTATTGCTATGAATGCCTTGTTAAATAAAATGAGGAATGAAAATAGGAGTAAGTTGAATAATAATCATAAACCAGACAATTACAATAATTCTACTTCCGCTAAGAAAAAGAAATCTACTAAGTCATCTTCTGCTTCATCTCAAGCCCATCAAATCGATTCAGACTCAGATTCAGATTCAGATAGAGAAGCTAGAAAATCAAGATCAGTCAAAACCAACCTTAAAGTAAACAAGGTTGGCAAGAAAGGGGCTCGACCGTTTTAACTCTTAGACGTTATACAAAGTTTGTAATCAGACTAATAAATATTTAATTATACTCATCTAACAATTCAAAACTAAGTTTTTCCATAATAATGTAAATAACCACCTAAAGTTTTACAACCATTTATGTAGTTACTAATATCTAATTTTTCATTTATGGAATGAGCACCATCATCACCTCTACCCATTGGTAATAACAATACATCAACACCTAATTCCTTTTCAAAAGTTAAAGTTATTGGAATAGATCCACCTTCTCTAGTAAAATCTGGAACAATACCCCATACATCTTCAGTTGCTTTAGCAGCAGCTTGGAAACTTTCATTAAAAGGATCAGATACCCAATAATTACCATCATGAATTAATTCAACTTTAAATTCATTTGGTGAGTTCAATTTTGCAAAAAGACCATTGATATGTTTGTATACTAATTCATCTAGTTTTTTAGATTCAATATTTGGTACTGTTCTTATAGAAAATTTACCAACAACTTTTGATGGAATAACAGTTTTAGCTCCAGCCCCTGAAAATGCACCTTCAATACCATGCAATGTTAAAGATGGATATCTCCATCTATGTTTCAAAATATCTTTCTTATTTTGATATATTGCTGTGTTTGATCCTGATGCCGCATTCAATTCATCAACTGAAAAATCAATATTATCATACAATTTATCTTCTTGTTCAGTTAATGGAGCAACCATATCTTCAACTCCTGGAATTAAAATTTTTCCTTTAGAATCAACTAATTCAGACATGACTTTAATTAAATCTGTCATTGGTTCTGCAATTATACCACCGAAAATACCACTATGTAAATCAGCACCAGGTCCCTTGACAATGATTTGATAATAATTACATCCTCTTAAACCATAAGTCAATACTGGTTTTGTTGTACCTAACCAATAGTTATCAGAAATAGTGACTTGATCAACTCCCTTGAAATAAGCATTAGCTTCTTTTGCAACTAACTCATCTAATCCTAAAGATCCACTTTCCTCCATTCCTTCGAAACAAACAATCAAATTTACAGGTAATTCCCAACCTAATTTATTATGAGCTTCAATGACATTCAACCAACCTAAAACAGGACCTTTATCATCAGTTGACCCTCTACCATATAAGATTTGATTTTTTTCATCTATAGTTAATTTGAAAGGATCGTAACTCCATCCATCTTCTTTAAGAGCAGGTTGAACATCATAATGACCATAAACTAATACATTTTTCTTTTTAGGATCTGAACCAAATCTTCCTAAAACAATTGGTGGTAATTTCAAATTTTTATCAGTGACTGGTGGTGGTTGAATTCCTAATTCTTTTAATTGAATATCTTGAAAACCCAAATTTTTTAATTCATCAACTAAGAAATGTGCCATTTCAACTACTTTTGGTCTTAATGATTCATCTGAAGATACTGATGGAATTGCAATTGCTTTTGATAATCTTTCAATAAATTGTGGTTTTAACTCATCGATAGTTTTAAATAAAGGTTCCAATTGAAGTTTCTCGTATTTTTCGGACATCTTTGGTGAATCGAGTGTTTTTAAATGCTGAAATATAAATGAATTGAAGGATATAGTAAGAAAATGTTGCAAGATTTTTCAATTATCATTCAAAGTAGAAGGAGTTAGACAAAAAAATTGATCCGCCGTGTTACATATTTCAATTTTTTTAATGTTTTATGCGGCAAAAAAAGTTTATTCATGCCATCTACTCGATTGGCATTGAGTGATTGAGTTACATCTCTCTCTAGTGATTCACTTGAACAGGACGAGAGCAGTTGGTAATAATATATGCTGTCATGAGAAGATTTGCTTGCATAATGATGTAGACTATATTAAAATTATTATCTTGTCACGTGTATTTTCACGTGATTACTGACGCGATAAAATCTTTACTGTTAATTTTTGGTTAACATATTCAAGAAGGTTGAAAGACTTCGATCAATTTGAGAAAGAGAATATAATCTTTAAGAGAATGCCATGGATCTTGAAGATATAGATTCAACCAGTTCAGATGATGACGACATTTTTGGTTTTAGTACTCCAAAGGTGAAGAAATATACTCGAGATAACGCATCAAATTCACAATCAAATGGTTCTAACATTTCACCTGCATCCCGAAAACCAATAAAGTCAACGAGTTCACTACCTAAAACCACCAATAAGGTTTATACCGTCACGAAATCTAATAGCCAAATATCCAATAAACCGCGTTTAAAAAGAGAAAATAGATCAAAATTAAGCGATGATATTTTTGACATTGATGTACCCACAATTTTTAAGACCGATGGTAATAAATTAAGTAAAATCAACAAAGAGCATCAAAAAATTAAAGAAATTTTTGAGAATCAGAACAAAATTGAACAAAGTATAAAAACACACCATGAGAAATTGAAACTTCAATTATTGAATGAATTAAATGAGGAGGAGTTTATTGACGAAAATGATAATTCGATTGGATACAATGGGCTGCACAAAAATTCAGTAAAGAAATTCGATATTGTAAGGGATAATTCATATTTGGAAAAATTAATTTCAAAAGACAAATCAAACATCGATGGGTTTGGGATAAGCAGACACTTTTTTTGTTTGAAAAATGTTGAAGTAGATGAAAACACAAAACTGGACCTCAATCCAACCAACTTAAGCATCAAAAGATCCCTAAAGTTTTTAATATCCAACAATCCAGAGTTGGCCGTTGAAAATATACTAAAAAGCTTTCCCGATCCTAAAAGTTTTATAATTAAAAGTCTATTCCTGACCAACTTACAATATTTGAATTCAATCATTGAATATTATAACTCAATCGACGAAGACAGCTCACTATTTATTGGAAACGAGGATTTTGATAATTTGATCAGCACATTCGGACTTGACTCAAAAATCATAAGTCTCTCATCATTTAGGATATTGAGTAGTGATAGTCTTAATCTTCCGATAAAAATTTCCGAAATAAATAACAATTTAAATGTCCAGTTGTCAAGATTTACAATAATTTTTCATGCTATTTTGAATAATCAAAGAGAAAAGTTCGATTTTCGAAACTTGATAACGATTTTTATTTGTATTTTGAATGATTACAATGTAAATAAGAATGAATTAAGACTGTTACATCAATTTATTACAAGCATATTCCCCATTTTTGTGAGAAAATTAGATGAAAATGTTTTGCTTGATTTGTTATTTGATACAATCGTAAATATAAAAACCAATTTTGGGTCAAACGATTCTGTGGAAAGGGTTAAAAAAATAGACTATGAGTTGCAATATAATATAATCAAACTTCTTAATATCACATTTTTAACAGATAATCTGAATCAAATAAACCTACGACTACAAAATTTGAATAAATTGAGTAACATTATAGTTGAACTAAATTTAAGATTTATACTAAGTGAAAATTATAATAATAAATTAACTACAAAGCATTCGAAAGCGAACATCATCTATCAAATTGCAAATAACTTGGTAATTCCTGATGACATAACAAACTCATTGCATCTTAATGACCTCAATCTGGCTAATCTTGTGTATTTGTATTATTACAAAATCAAAGTTTTAATGTTTTTACTAATAAATCCATTCAACCTAAATTCAACTAAAGCTCAAAACATCAAATCATTAAAATCTTTAAAAGTTTCAATCGAAAAAATTCAACATAATTGCTATGAATTGATAAGAAAATTGGGTGGAATCAAAATAGATCTAGTAATTGAAAATATGAATAAATCCAATGACAATGGTGCCACAAAATTTCAGTACAGTTTTGACAGAGAAGAAATGGTCAATTTTTTGACTGATATTCATCAAGATTTAAGTTTTCAAATTGATAAATTAGACTATGATTTGAAGTTAGTCAGCAACGATTTCTTCTACCTGGTTTAAGGAAGTTACTTAGTAACACACTTAAGTTGAGATAACTGGTGTAAAGAAATGTTATAGTTACAGTGAAAAAGTATTCGGTTGTTTCAGGTCGGTTAGTAAATTTAAAACGTGTTTATAGATAGATTCATAATAATAGCGCTTTTGTGTTTAGTATGACGAAATAATAAAATGAATATCATTACTCTAGAATTGTATTCCATCATTTAAATTTACAACTTATTTCCAACAAGAGACTAGACATGAAAACTACATGAGTCTACATAGATTTATATGATAAGATTGATAGTGAATAGAAGAAATTTGCGGCAAGATAATATAAGGGTAACTTCTAGATTAAATTACAGATTTATTACGAACATGACTATTGAATCAGAACCAACTCAATCACTTGATAGTAGCGTCAACAACAATATCCCGAACTCATTGTCTAGGGGTCAACCGGTTACATACATTAACCCAGAACTAACAGAGTTGGAAAATGCAAAACCTGGTCGTAAAGTAAGCTTACCTTTTGGATATGGACCAGTATCGGAACAAGAATCAAATAAAACCATTTTTTATTTTGACATTGATAATTGTTTATATCAAAAATCAACAAGGATATTCGAAATGATGCAAGTAAAGATTCATGATTATTTTAAAAATAGTTTGAAATTGAATGATGAAGAAGCTTCTAAATTACACTTGAATTATTATAAAACCTACGGATTGGCTATTGAGGGATTAGTGAGAAACCACAAAGTAGATGCTTTAGAATATAATTCAAAAGTAGATGATGCCTTAGATTTACATGCTGTTTTACGTTATGATAAACCTTTAAGAGATACTTTGTTGACTATAAAAAATTCTGGAAAATTTGATTACTTGTGGTTAGTTACAAATGCATATAAGAATCATGCTTTGAGAGTTATTAGCTTTTTAGGTATTGGTGATTTATTTTATGGTTTAACTTATTGTGATTATTCTAAGTTTCCAATAATTTGTAAACCAATGAAACAATATTTTTTAAATGTATTTGATAAGACTAGATTAGATTATCATGATGAAAGAGTTTTACAAAAGCAATGGTTTATCGATGATAGTGAATTGAATGTTAAAGCTGCTTTTGATCTAGGTGTGGGTCACGTTGTTCACTACGTGGAGGAATCTAAAGATTTGGAAAAGTTAAAATCAAAAGATGATTTTAAGAGATACTATAAAGGTGAAAATCGAAAGATATTGATTTTACTGAATTTCGCTGAATTACCGAAACTTATAGGTATTGATTCAAATAATGAGTTATGATTAGTGTATAGTTCTTAGATTTAAAAATAAATATAGAAGTTTGATAGAATTTAAATTTGTTATCTCTATAACCAAATTTGATTGCAAAAAATTTAGAATTTGAACCACAATTTCTTACTTTATTAACATTCTCATATGACAACTAAAAACCAACAAATCACCAAATTCAAAGGGGTGATCCTATTTTTACATGGTTATACCCAAAATTCATCGATATTCTATGCAAAAACATCAGCATTAAGGAAAAAAATTTTGAAGTTAGGTTACAAATGTAAATACTTAAACGGTCCATATGTTTTACAACCTTCAGACTTACCTACGACAGATTCCTTATCGAAATTTGGATCTAGTGACAATCAAGATGTAACATATCGTGGATGGTGGATTAAAAACGATCATACAAATGACTCTATTGACTTGGACAAATCAATTGATTCAATACGAAATTATATAGAGAATGGTATTTTAATACCTGACGATGAGTCTCAAAATAAGGAAATATCAAAAGAAAGTGAAGAAGATAAAGAATTGCCTATAGTAGGACTAATTGGGTTCTCTCAAGGTGCTTCATTTGCAGGGTTAATTGCTGAAAATTTTCAAAACTTATTTAATACAAAGAATCCATTGAAATTTGTAATACTATATTCTGGTTTTAAATTAGACACATCAAAATCGTCAAAAAATGATAAATATAATTCATATTATGATGAAGAATTAAATCCAGATTTGAAGTATCTACATGTTTATGGTGAGTTAGATACCGTTGTTGATGAAGTCAGAAGTTTGTCGTTGTACAACATCACCAAACCTAAATCTGATTTACTAAAACATCCTGGTGGACATTTTGTTCCAAATTCTAAGCTATACATTGATCAAGTTGTAAATTGGATTCAGAGTGTGACAAAGGATGATAATGAGAAAGTAACGAATCAACCTGGAAAAGGTGACGTTAATGAAAAGAAATCTAAATTAGATACCAAGGATGATATTGAATCGTTATTGGATATGATGGAAGGATTTGGGAAAGCTTAAGCTTTAATCTATGCATTTAAGAACTTTTAATTATGATTTATAGAATATATACAAATGGTCAATTTGATCATCACAATTCATCGTGATCAACTTTGGTTTTCTTTGTACTCTTTTTACTTTTGTTGGTTGAAGGTAATCTGTATTTGGCTAATTTCTTACCTTTTTCAGACAAAACTCCTTCAACTGGTTTAATACCACTTACTTTGAGTATCCATTCCTCGATTTTGATTTTGTCATTCAATTTATCCGTTTCGGTGTAAATTTCAATCTCATCCTTGGATGGATCAAAATAGATCAACGTTGATTTCTCTGATGCTGGAATTTTAGTAGTTGAATTAGTAACATTTATAGTCTCCTTGTTTAATTTACCGATGGCTGCAAAATTTAATTTGGATAAGAAGTCTATGGCGATCGATTTCAAAAGCGGGCTAATTTGATTGGAGCTTGAAACCAATAATATTTTTCCTTGCTCTTTCTCTTCGTTCAACCAGTTACTCAAATCATCTTCAAAGTTATGTAATTTCTTGACGTAATTTTTCAATCTTGAATTTAAGAAATTTGTTATAGCCTTTACATTTCTCTCACCATTATACACTTCACTAGCATGTCTTGACCTTTTTGAATTTACCTTAGATTTATCATATTTTGGTGGCCTAAATACCATTACTGTTGGGAACCCTCTAATTTGATATTGTGCACATAATTGTTTATTAACATCCTTATCACAGTTGACACTAGCAATGTTATAGTTCAATTTTGAACTTGGCGAGCCGAGTGCCTTACCTAATTTAGTCCATATGGGTTTTAGTTGCTGACAGTAACCACACCATGGTGCATAGAATTTGACTATTGATGTGTGATTTGTACCATGTATTACTTTATCGAAATTTCTTGCAGTTAATTCATAAATATTTGAATCTAAAGCATATTCATCTTGTTGTGCCCTTGCTACCACTAGTATTAATATAGACAATAGTATTAGTAGATGATTTTGAAACATTTTGTTTTATATTCGTAAACCTTATAGATCTAATAGATAAAATTAGTTGGTCCGAAAAATAGAATTACGTGGTTGAAAAATTAATTCCGTGTGCTGATAACTGATACCAAAAACTGAGAGATCGAATTGAGAAGACGTAACTACGAAGTAGATAGTCGTGAATGTTCGTAGGAAATGGACATTCAGGGTCAATTAATACTTTACAATGAGATTTTTTCACTTTTATCGTTGGACTAATCCTACTAGTCTAAATTATAATGTGACTGTTGTATTTTTAACTAAATATATACTCCAACATAATTCATCACGTATATAGCACTATATCCCACGCTTATTGAAGCTACTATTGAATTTAATAAAAATGTGATAAAATTCTTCTTTTTGATATCTCCTAATAAAGCTATCGATAATGATCCAAACGCTAATAATAGCAAAAATATTGTAAATAAGGCTGTAGAATTTGTTATTTTAGAATTTTCTAATGGTGGTGATGTTTTGAATTGTTCTAAATATTCTAAATATAAAGGTGATTTATTGCTCGTTGACATTGTATTAGATTGATTTATGTAATATTAAATGATTTTAATTATTAGGCGTCAAAAGGAAATTATTGAAAGTTAACAATGGTAAGTTCGTGTTTCAAATGAGACAGACTGGTTCAGATTGATTATTGTATAACTTGATTGTACTTCTGAATTGGATCTTGAATCAGTTTTTCGTCTTGGATCAAAAGTTCTGCTGTGTAAAGTGAAATTGGCGTCTTGTAAATGCTGACTTCTATAGTACGTTAGCAAATTAGCTCTTATGGATATTGGTTATTTTCGAGTTACCGTATAATGTAGTGATAAATCAAAAATATAATTTGGTTTCGTGTTGATTTTGTAATTTTGTCACGTTTTTAATCACGTGTAAATAAAATTAATATGGCAAAATGAATACATTAAATATAACTTTAACTGAATATTTATCTGAACTTCTTCAAAGTAATGTCGGAAAGTGGATGGAACACGATAGATTCTGATGCTGTATGTATTTTTTCCAGTGTTTAAATCTGAATAATTGATTTTGATACTAACATTTTACTCAAGGGTGTTTTCACGGAATTAGTTGAAAAATTAGGTGTTTCAGATATTGAGATTAACGATTTATATTCAATAGATTCGGATACATTAAGGCAACTAAAACCAATTTATGGAATAATATTTTTGTTCAAATATGGCAGTCTAGATAGAGAATTTGCCAAATCGAATAAACCTATAAATGGAGAATATGATTCAAATTACATGGATAATGGAATATTTTTTGCAAATCAAACTATTCAAAATGCATGTGCTACTCAAGCTGTTTTAAATATCTTGTTCAATGTTGAAGATTTAGAATTAGGTGAAGAATTAAATAATTTCAAATTATTTACAACAGGTTTCGACGCAGAAATGATTGGTGAAACTATATCCAATAGTGAGACGATACGATTTGTTCATAATTCTTTTCTGACACCTACATTAATTCATCAGGATGATAAACCAAAACCTAAAAATTATGATGAAAAGAATGATGGGTTGTTTCATTTTGTTGGATATATTTTTAAAAATGGGCGTATTTATGAGCTAGATGGATTAAAGCAATACCCGATATTACATGGAGAATGCAAAAATCAAGATGAATTTATTGATAAAATTCCAACAATTGTACAAGAAAGAATTCAGAAATACGATTCAAGCGAATTGAGATTCTCATTACTCGCTATTACAAACAATAAATTACAACAAGCCCAATTAGCTGGTGATGAGATGGAAGTTGCTAATCAAATTTCGAAAAGAGAAAATTGGCAGAAAGAAAATGAATTAAGGAAACATGATTACACTGGGCTCATAGTTCAGCTCATCAAAAATATAAGTAAGGAAAAAAGTGATGAAGAATGGGAAGCTTTGCTACAAAATGGAAGAAATAAAACTCAACAAATGATAGCTCAATCCATACGAAAACAATAGCTTCGTTAAATATATCTATTATCTATCGTCTATACGTCATCATAACTACCTCCAAATGAAAACAATCCATGTCCACTACTATGTCTTGAGAAATAGTCAAAATCAATTGAAGTGAAACAAGACAAAATAATAGCTCTTTGATCAATTGTAACCCCTTGACTACTTACATCATCATAATTCGCCAATCCTCTGAAACTTTCTTTATCGAACCTTAAAATATATACACCTGTATCAGTAAACATTTCTCTACCTAACCCAACCCAATTTCTATCTATACTTGCAATAATTTTATTATCAGCATTTATAATAGGAAAATCAAATGATAAAAAAGGAGCATCAATATCACCAAATTGTTCATAATCATCGGTTTTTTCATCTTCTAATTTAAATAAATTATATTTTCGTCTAAATAAATGCCATTTTTGAACACTTTCACCAACTATTTCGAGCATGGGTTCATCATTTTGTTTGTTGTATCCTGGTAGTAAAGACTTCACATATGAATTAATAAATCGAAATGGTCTTTTAATTGTTAATGCTAACTCACCACTTGGAGTAAAAACATCGACCTCAAATGGCCTACGAGTTCGGAAAAGTTGTCTACCCACCGTTCGTCCAATTCCAGCTTCTTTTTCCTCCATAAATCCTATTATTTCACCACTTGAATTCATAATTGTATATTTGTTTATTTGTTCGAACCCTATCATTAAATTCATGTATTCAATCGTACGTTCAATGACAATGGTTGGCTCTGATAAAATTGAGTATATTGGATCTTGAGGAGTTATTATACCATTTTTGTTATTGGGTATATAATATTGACTTGATGAATAATATGGACTTTGAGTCTGTTGATAAGAATCTGTATTTACATTATCAAACGATCCTGACTGCTTGGCCCTTTCTTGTGCCTCTTTAAATTTTGCTACTTCTTCAGGTGTAATTTCTTTGGTAACTCTTGTTCTATTATTATTGCTATTTGATGTAGGATATCTAGGTAGCTTTAGGCTCGAAGAAGTGTGAATATAAAATCTTTGGGGTTTGCAATGCAGAATTGGACGTAAGCATTTCAACATGATATTCGTAAACGATGTCAATTGAGTAGGAAAGGTTAATTCAATTTACTAATTCGATTTAAATGTAAAATGGCAAGCTGTTTCAGATTAAGTAAATTGCGCGCGCTAATTTTAATCTTTTGTTGACTAGAGAATGCTAGAAAAAAATATATGTAAGTACTGGTACTAGAGGTTTTGGAAAATCATATACCTGTCCTGAATTTGAAAGACTGACAATACACCTTTTGCATCAAGCCTCCTTATTAATTGAATCTCGTTAAAAATCCAGAAATACAAAGGTAAGCTTTATTTGAAAGAGTAGTGTACTTTTGGTAGCATTGCCACCGGATTAGAATTAATGACCTCTCAAGTTCAATGAAAAATTCATTCTAAAGCATGCTGTGATAGGTTAGGTAAGATTAATCAGAACAAGATTGAATGTCGTTACAACTATACGTTTGATCTCTTGGATACCGTGTTGTTTTTGTAAATCCTGTGGTTTTGTGTTGTTTTTGTTACTAATTTGACACTCCAAAAATATTTTAAAATCACAACAAATTAAAATTTAATTAAATTTAAATTTACTATTAGCCAGTTCACTTCCCACTTCAAATAAAATTACAATCATGACATTATCATCCAGAAGAAGAGAGTTGAGAGCATCGTTAAGATCAAATGGTGTTCATGATGAGGATTCGGTCAATCAAGAGATTGATGATACTTTAAATGGTTTGCAACATGAAACACATCAAACACAGGTAACTACCAACTTACCTGGAACTACCATTAAAAATGAGATTGATGATGATGCTACCAAGCTTAGAAACTTAGACTTTGAAGTTGATGATGGAGATGATTCTGATAATGATGGAGATTTTGCTCCTCAACCTGAAGATGAAGATGATAATGATGAAAATGAATTCTTTGATGCTGAGGAATATGCAGCAACTAATAATTCAAAGAAAAGAGTTAGAAGACTTAAAATGAGTCAACAAACTTATCAAGAAAGTAAAGAGTTTAGACAAGATCAACATCATCATCAACAAATTCAACAACAATTAGCTCAACAACAACAACAACAGCAACAACAACAACAACAGCAACAACAGCAACAACAATTTGCTCAACATCAACATCTTCAACAGCAACAACAGCTTCAACAACAACAGCAACAGCAACAACACCTTCATCAACATCAACATCCCGATCCTGTCACTACATTAGTTACTGGAGTTAGTATTCCAAATTCTCAAGTTCCAAAACAAACTAGAACCATATTTAAAGATATTGATAATCCAGATTCAAATATTTGTGAATTTTGTGGTAAAGAATTTAGAAATGTTATTGATAAAAGAAATCATAGAAGAACTCATTCTCAACCTAAAAGATTTGAATGTGCTACTTGTGGTAAAAAATTTAGTCAAAAAGCCAATTTAGCAATTCATGAAACTCATGTTCATCATGATTTAGTTTTAGATGATGTTTTAGAAGTTTCACAACATCAACAACAACAACAACTTCAACAAAATCCACAACAATCTCAATTTGCTCCTAATGAAGATCCTCAATTACAATTAGAACAACAACATCACCATATTGCTCAACAACAACAACAAGCTCAAGTTCAAGCTCAACAAGCTCAACAACAAGCTCAACAACATGATTTGCAACAACAATTGGCTCAGCAACAACAACAAACCCAACAACAATATGGTTCTAATGTTGTTGAAGATAATGTTAATGTTTTTGCTGATGGTCCAACTACAACAACCACACAAACAACTACTAGAAATATTACTCCTCAAGCTCCTACTAAACCATTTGTTGATTTAAAAGATGTTAGAGTTTTCCATTGTAATGCTTTTAAATGTGGTAAAGGATTTTTATCATATGAAAAATTAATGAATCATATTGAAGCTGATCATAAAAATGTAAATGAAGAACGTCTTAATGATCCAAATCAACCATATGATCCTTCAAATCCTGCTCATGCAGCAGTAATGGCAGCAGCTTCAGGTTCAAGTTCTTCACCACAAGCTAATACTTCAGTTGTTCCAAAACCAAAAAGACCAAAAAGAGAATCATCATCATCAAATGTTAAAATTCATCATTGTACTCATCCAGGTTGTGATAGATCATTTGCAAAAATATCTGATTTAACAAGACATTATAGAATTCACACTGGTGAAAGACCATTTGTTTGTGAACATTGTGGTGCAAGTTTTAATCAAAGATATAGATTAACCACTCATGTTAGAATTCATACTGGTGAAAAACCTTTTAGTTGTAAATATTGTGGTAAAACTTTTGCAAGAGGTGATGCTGTTCAATCACATATTTTTTCAATTCATAGAGCTAAAGGTGAAGCGTTTTAAAGGAGATGCTTTGATGGTAGTAGAGGAATGGAAGATTTTGGAGAAATCTTTAGTTTGATGTTGATGGGTGTTTTTGCTTTTTTTGTTAGTTGTTTTTTGGTTTTGCTTTTTTGTTAGTTGCTTTTTGATTTTCTATATTTTAAATTTAATTATACCTAATTTTGTTTGTTAAATTTACATTTCATCAACTCTATTGTCTGTTTGCCATAAAAATTATTGTGAAACAACAAACTAAGTATTGTTATTAATGAAAAGTGACTGATCAATATCAAAATTAAATTCAAATCTTACTGTAAAATACAAGAGGAATGTTGGAAAGTATTGGTCTTTCAATGTATTTGAGCAAGCCAAATATGCAATAACGTATATCAAGCTAGTTAAAAGGTTGCAAAGATATGTTGCAAAAAAAATAAAAATTAAATATTCTACATTCCAAATAAAAAATCAGCGTTTAACTCAAGATATTCAATGATTAGTTCTTTTACTTGTTTTTGCTTTTGATTGATCAACTAAACTGGATAAAAAAGCATTTGGTGATAGATCTAAAGTATCATAAAAAATACAGGATCCGATAACCGGCTGTTATAATTTTTCAAATCTCGGTGGAATGGAACTCATGAAAATTTAATTTAACATAGTAGGAGGTCTTATGAGAAGTTGGTCTCGCTAATATCAAAAGAGTATGGATGAACCATTAAAACAATTGCTTTAAAGAGATTATCAAATTTGTGTTTTGTCACAAAATCTTTTATTTTCTTTTTAACTAATTTATACAAATATGATACAGTAAATTTCTAATGCTAATGATATATGTTTTCGTTCTTTTCAATATAATCTTCAATAATCATTATTTCAATTTTTTAGTATCATTTGTAGTTGATAAACTTGGCGTATCTTTAGTTAATAAATCTTTAACATATTCATAAACAGTAAAAGTAACAGCTTGACCAGGAGCAACTCTCATTATTCTTGGTGTTATACCTTTATATAAAGCACCAATACCTTCTTCTTTAATTAATTGTTTACCAATTTTAATAATTCTAACCATACCACTTTCATTACTTGCATAACTTGATTTTTGTAATCTTGTTTTAATTGTATCTAAAGGAGCATTTGATAAAGGACCTAAAGCACCTGAAATTAAACCAATTCCTGAAGTTTGCCAAGCTGGTAAAATTTCAGTTTTTTCTCTTTTTTGTAAATATTCTTTTAATTTTGAATAAACAGTAAAATTAACACCTTGATTTGTTGCTTGTCTTGCACAAGTTAATGAAACACCACGATATAAAGTTTTAAAACCTTCTTCTTTACAAATTAAATAAGCAGCATGAGGAGCATTTCTATATTTTGGAATATCTAAAGGATCTTTCATTGAATGATGTTGAGCTTGTAATCTAATTTTAACAACTTCCATTGGATTTACAACCATTATTGATTCTGTTATACCTGCACCAACACCTGCTAAAAATGTTTGACCAGTTGTAATTTTACCATCTTTATCATAAAATAAAGATCTATAAAATTCATAAGAAGAAAATCTAATAGCCATTTTTGGAACAATTCCAATAACAACTGCTCCTAAACCTTTATATAATGATAAAAATCCTTCTTTTTGAACAATATTTATACCAGTTTTAATAAAACCAGGAGGTTTTTGACCTGATTTTCTATATAATTGCATTCGAACTTTTATAGTATCTAAAGGATGACAACATAATGCTTCAAATAAACCTGCTACACCACCTGCAACAAAATCAGTTACTCCTCTTTTAGCTTTTACATCTGTTTTAGTTGCAACTGCCATTGTGATATGATAATTCTATAAAGATGGTTTAATGATGGATGAATATAATATTGGAATTGATGAATTGAAAATTAAGGTTTTTTGAATCAAAAAATTATAAAATGAATGTATTGATTTCTGAATAAATTTGATAAATTGAATATATAAGGAAGTCAGCAAAAGTACTTTCTCAATCTAGTATAAGTCTTTTGAAAATATTGGTCTATTCAATAACTTGATTATAAGAATCAAAAGTAAAAGAAAAGAAAGAAAGATATAAATGGTTAAAAAAATTTCTGATTTATTAAATGTTGAAAATTGAAATATTTTTACAATATAAAATTTCATAAGAAAAACGGAAAATAAATATTACACAAAAGAGTATGCTACGCTATTAACTTACTGATAATGAAAAATAGTCTGGGGTATCTACGTACTAGTGCTACCAAACTATCTGTATTAAAAACAAAAAAAAATCAACTCATTTGGATTCACTAAGAATACAGTTACATCCATTGCTCCGGGTTGTTCGAATATTTTTACGAAATAATGTCACTTGACTTATAATTTAGTAACAAACTGATTTAAAGTATTGGAATTAAATGGTGTATATGGCCGATGAAAGAAACTAGATGGTTGAGATTTATCCATTTGAATGTGAAATCAACCAAGGGAGAATTTGTAGTTGAATTCAGCCCCCCACATTCTTACTTACTAATACAACATGACTAACTAAATGAGTCTTTCTAATTTTTAAGTAAAATGGAAGTAAAAATCCGAAGTTTCACAATAAGTAAATTTTTTTTTCTACCTCGAGATTATTTTTTATTAACGAACTATTTTTTTCCTCGGGATAATATTTGTAGATTAAAACGAAACCGTTGAATGTATGATTGAACAATAACGTCATGATTCAATTTGGTTTCTTAACAATGTTTGCGACGGTCCGATCTAGGTTGTTTGAGTTGAATTTTTAATTTCATTGGCGAGTATCTTTGTCGTAATTTGTTTCAACATTTGATTTAGAATTCTCTACAATCATTCATGAGTTGATATATATATAATACTTTATTATATTTCAACAAACAGTTCTCAGGGTTTGTAGTTGACTTCTCATCGCTCTTCAACTCCGGGTACGTACTCATAATCTTAGGTTATTGTTGACCTAGCAATTGACCTTCGTGATACGACTCAGCAAATTGAATTAATTGATACATGCCCTTGAAGTTTATCCGGTGTGTTTTGGTCGACATTTAATGCGCGACGACCTATACATCCGACCAAAGCTCACACTATCTGCGCTCTTTTAAGAGCCCCTCGACCTATCTCAAAAATTTTACATATCTCAGTAGCACGCTCTGGAGTTCATAGTAATCTGTTGAAAGACCGTTTAAAAATTTGAAAATCAAGTAAAGTTGAAGAAAAATAGGTTGAATAAATTTAAAGTTCAAATTTGAATGTAATTTATATAAATTATTCTTTTGAAGAACTAGTATTTACTTTGTTGTTAGGTTTTTAGCTATAATTTTTATTGCTAACTCGGTTGCACGCGCTGGTGTCTTAAATGCAGTTTTTAGGTTGAGAATTGTTAGTATTCAATTGAGAATTTAAAGAATTGAAAAACAATTAAATTTAAACAGGAATAGATTAAATAGATGTAAAACTTAATTTTGTATGTTATTTGTATGCGTTGTTTGTTTGAAGAGCTAGAAGTTATTTTGTTGTTAGAAAAAGAATTGTATTTTTTTAGCTGTATGATTTTTTTCCCTTGGAAATTGAAAGTTTCCCTTGTAAATTTCAGAGCTGATAATCTTCAAAAAATTAATAACTAATTGAGGTTGGGCAAAAGTAAACTGAATAGAATTAGAAGTAAAAACTGAATGTAATTTATATGTATCATCTGTTCAGATAATGAGTAATTTACTTTGTTGTCGATATAAAGTTGTTTTGGTGTTAATTCTACTGTGTGTAATATTGCGGTATACAGTGACGTTTTATATCGCCCTAGAGAAGCATCTTTTTCTTGCTCGACCAGGTTAATCCACGAAGTAATAGAGAGAAGTATACAGTAATTATATCGATAATTAAAATTAGCCATGTTATTAAATTATTAAGATAATTATTATGTAAAACTAGAAAAAAAGAAAAAACCATTTCCCAAAATACTTCCCAAACCTAACTTAGTAAATTATTTAAACTCATAACACTTTGATTTTGTTTAATTAAATTTAAATCATCATTAATAGCTCTATCTTTGTCATCAACTTCGTGTTGTTGTTTTTCATTAGGATAATTATTTAAATTATTAAATGATGTAAAACTTAATACTGATCTTATTGGAGGTAATTTTGTTCCAGTAGTTGCAATACTTTTTAATTTCTCATTTAACAATTCATTGTGTTTTAAATCATCTGCATCATTTTCTGATGTTTGCGTATTTAATGTATGAGTAGGTAAGTTATTATTATTAGTAGTAGTAGTAGTATGTAATGTAGCAGGTTGTAAATGAGGTGATTGACTTGGGGTTTGTAAAGGAGTTTCATTTGGTGATATTATAAAATTTGATTGAAATCTCTTAGCACTACCATAACCATTATTACTTGATAACATTGTTAAATTAGTTAATGAAGAATTTGGAGAATTTGGTCTTGATTTTTTATTTATATGATGATGATTATTATTATTATTATTTTGATAAAATTCTAAATTTAAAGAAGTTGATGAGATTTGTTTTGGTAATGATATAAAATTAGATTTATTATTATTATTAGTATTATTCGTAGTTGTTGATTTTAATGGTGTCATTCTTTGTAAACTTGATAAATTTGTTGATGAAGTAGATCTTATTTTACCACTTAATGAGGATAATGAAGTTGATGAAGCATTAAATAATCTTGTATTGTTTAATCCTGATGATGATGATGATTTTTGTTGAAAATAATCATTTAAATTACTGAAAGATGATGTAGGAACTTGTGAATTAATTGCTTGAGATTGTGAATTTGGTGGTGGCATCATTGTTGTAGATGAGGAACTAGAAGTATCAGGTGAAGTTCCCAAAGAATGTAATGCTGAATTATTATTACTAAAAACTTTTTGATTTTCTGATATTATACTTGATGTTGAATCAGATTTTGAAATGTTTGAAAATTGATGATTATGATAACGTTGTTGAAAAGGTGGTGAATTATTACCTTGTTGACTTATTTTTGTTGGATAATGTCTAATTGAATCTGATGATATTGCTCTTGATGTTATAACTGGACGTGTTTGATTTGTGGTATGATTAACAATATTATTAGAAGATTGAGAATTTGGATGATTATATAATTGTTGGTGTTGTTGTTGAAGATTTTGTTGATGTTGTAAAGTTGTTGGTGATGAAGGTATTGAAAATACAGCTGATCCTTGTTGATTATAATGAGAAGGAATTTCTTCAAATGATCTATTACTTGTATATTGTTGTTGTGAATGAGAATTAGGTATTGAAGTAAATGACCCAACTTGTTTTAAGGAAGGAACAGTATTATTTGATTGTATTTGAGTTTGTGGGTGTTGTTGTGGCTGCTGTTGATGTTGTTGATGTATTACAGGTAAATGTTGAGGTAAAATTGGTTGCATATAACCATTACCATTTGATACATAATAAATAGGATATGATTGATGGAATACTTGATTTCCATTTCTATCTATACTAAAAGGAATATGTTGTTGATGTTGAATAGATATAGCTTCAACATTTCCATTATTATTATTAATATTTGATTCATTATTCTTATTTTTTCTTTTTCTTGTAGTTGGATTATTATGAATTCTTAGATGTCTTGTTAATTCATCTGATCTACTAAATCTTTTACTACAACCAGGAAATGTACAAGCATGAGGTTTTTCTCCAGTATGAGTTCTTATATGTCTTGTTTGATGTTCTAATCTATGAAATGCTTTTTCACAAAATGTACATTTATATGGTCTATCTTCTTTATTTTGTTTTTCTTTAACCGGCATCTTCCTTATGGGTGTTACTTTTACTGTATAACTAGTTTTTTACTTGTGACTGTGTGAAGGTAACTCCGAGGTGTGACTTATATGATAATTTCTGATTGAATAGATAGTTATGTCTTTGTTTTTAAGTGATGTAATGATGTAATTATTGATGGGTTAGTCAATGATGATGGTTAATTGTAAAAGAAGAAAAAGAAGTTATAATGTAATTAATCTTTTTTGAAAAGTAAATGTAAGAAATAAAAATTATTTTTTTAAATTTGTGGTAGGAAAGTAAAGTTCTATATTTAAATTTTCTTATATTGTGTATGGTAGTATATTAAGTATGGGGAAAAAATATAAAAGTATATTACTACTATAAAGGATTGTAAGTAAAAAATTTTAAAACTTTCACCATTAAAGTAACAAGTAAGTAAATCTAAAATTTAAACTTATTCAAATCTTATTGTTCTTAAAGCGAAGGTATAGAACTAATAGACATAGTAGAAAGATTAATAAGCCTAATAAACTTAATAGAATAAGATGATCAATTTTTGATTCTATCCTATAACAATAAGAATAATGTTGAACGTACTAAAATGTAGTTACACAAAAATGTAGAGTGTAACACAAACCAATTTTTCTAATTAATCCGAAATATTTAAAAGTTTCTTTTTACTTGTTACAAACAATAAAAGTTTGGGGGAGACATACGTTTTTATTTTTGCAAGCTCTCAAACTTATGTATTTCTTAATATGAAATATTGATACGTATAATTGGGAAAAATTTATTAATGCTGCAGAATTTTTGGTATTATAGAATGTATTTGTAGGGCTATATTCTGACAAAAGAACAGGAAATACCAAGCAACTCAAGAAGTCGGGATATTTCTTGATTTCAGACCATGGTTACATTTGAGGCTATTGACTTGTTTGAATTCCAAACTAAATTGAATCTAAATCTTAGCAATACATGACATTAGTATTTTTTCCGGTCAGAACATAGTGTTTCTTCGTATTCGATGAACTTTGAAAATAGTATAGTAAGATTTTTGCGATAAATGAATAGATCATACGAATGCAATTCTAAGATGAAAAACTCACACGTCCAGTCATTTACGTAATAGATACGTTCGCTGTAACTGACAATCTTAATAAACGTCTTGCTAGCACAATTTTGTGCAATATGATTAAAAAAAAAGATGGAGCATTATCGTCCAGATTATGAAATTTTTAAAAATTGTACAAATTGATTTCAAGCTAAGATAAAACCTTAGTACTTCATATTATGCTAGATTAATATTTTTGGAATTATATGATGTGGCATGAACTTGTTTCAAGCACCGATAAATCACCAACTTCTCTATTGAAATTGTTCTGTTATTTTAAAAATAAAAAATTATCCATATACTAATTACACAAAGTGTAGTCCAAAAAAGTGAAAAGTTTTTCCGATCAGTCTATATACAGTTTTTGTAACCTGCACTTAATAAGATAGTAATCTATACCGAAAAAGAAAAATAATTAACTATTTTGCAATATTTAGTGTTTATTGTTCAAGAACTTTCGCCCAGTGATTATATATCTAGTTATATCCCTTTACGATAAAACAGAATATGTTTCATCAAAAATTTAAGTATCAAATTATTGCTTATAAATTGGAAATTTATTATCCCCACAGCAAATTTAATTTTGGTCTAAGCGAAAATATGTTGCTAGATGATCGGTTTAAAATAATTTTTAAATCCACCACAACATTTTAGTATTTTGGGGTGTCGTTTATGAATAGAAAATTTGAGCCATATTTAACCAACAATAATCTAAAAAAACTTTGCTATAATAATTTATTAACGTATTTAACCGAAACAATAGACTTTGAAAATACTTTATACTAGTGTAAGTAATCTATTATACTTCTTTTTACCTAAAAAAGTTTAATTATTTTACCAGTTTCAAAATCATGTTATATAAGTTGTTGAATAGTATACTGTTAACTATTCCAATTCCAAAGAACAATAGAATTGCCCATGGGGTCTTAACCTTATTTTATATATAGAGATACATTTGAAACAATTTGATAATTAGAATGAATTTGCGCATTAAAATTGAAGTCACTAGCAAAACATTTATTATTTTCATACTTGGTTTTAGAATTGATTTTGAACTTAATGGAGTAGCAGTAATTCGTTAATAATGGCTCATATTTCCAAAGACGTATTATTTAAAATTTGAAGTAAAGTTATTTCCCTAAATTCAAAATTTTCATCATTTCCATTTCTAATTTTTCAAAAACGTGGTAATGAAAGCTGATGTATCAAATATTTTTAAACTTTACAAACAGGGAGGGGTAGATGCATCAAAACTTGTTATAAACTATTTAACTTTAAATCTTTTAAGGTTGAGCCGTATAAAAATATGAACAACTGATTTGTTATCGGAGTAGTTAGAACCCGGGGTAATTTAGAGTTTAATTTGAAACTCAACAATAAAAAGGACTGGGGCAAAAACGAGGGGGCGGTCTGTGTGTCTAGATTGTTTTTCTTGAATCTATTCTTCATGGCTGAATCAACGCCTTCTTTGACCATCATGGAAGAAATATAGGAACATATTGATTGTTTGTTTTTTTTCTCCTTAAAACTCAAAATCATGATTAGACTCATTTATTTGTAAAATTCATCGATTGGTTACTCCAATTACCATCCTAACCACAATACTACATTTTTCTCATAAATGATGTTTCTTGAATCAGTTGTCCTGATTGATTATTGATATTATCTTTATATGCATTGTCTTGTTTTAAGTTGATGTTTGCGGGATCTTTGTTGTTTGTATGTCTCTAAATCTTCTAGAGTCGTATTATTAAGTTGTTGAGATGTTACTGCATTTTTCTTGAGTGATCTTGATTCTTCTAGAGTAGTTGTTACAACTAAATTAAAATCAACAAGGTAATGATAATTCTTTATATCCTACATAAAATTCTTTACATGCCACCACATCAGGGTCAAATGCGAATCCAACTTCAACAACTTCTGGAAGTGGTACACAGCGAACTCTAATTGCTGCTACCGCAGATATTGATTCAAATTTTCAAGCTCATGATCATGCTCAGTCACCAAAAAGTTATATATAATTTGATCAATATTTTAGTCAATTAAACATAGGTAATTATCAGAATCGTATCTTAAATCGTTTGGATCTAGTATCTAGTATCTGCAAATTTAAAGATTTTGTGTTTATAGATCTCGCTACATCCGTACCTCAACTTTTTTAACATCTCAACTGCAATACTTAAGCTATCGTTTAATATAATTTTTCACATTACCTAAACATATTTCAATTCGAAATTGCTGCAAATAATAATTTATATTTCGTGTTGTAAAATATGATTCAACATAGAATCAATGACTCCTCTGTCAACTAAATTAATATAAAAATCGGATTTAGAAGCAATACAACCATGATCGTTTGCAAAGAAAACAGTTGGTCCCTCATTGTTCCCTCAATAATCTATAATCTTAGAAATCGATATGAAGATAAATAATTACCGTTGCAGTACGGAGTTGTTTTTATTATGTGTTACGCTAAATTTGATATTCATAAAATTTTATCCTAGTTTCCTATATTTGGATCAAAATGGATATCTATAATAACAAAAGAGTAAAAGATAAATTAAGTTTAATGTTCAAAAAACAAGAATTAAAGTGTGTTTGGTTATCATTAAATAATATTCTACGTAATATATTTTTAAAAATCATAATTAAAATCAATCCATTGATCAAACCATTGTAAATTACCTAATAAATTATCGATTTCAATTGATGGATAAGAATCTACTGGATTAGGTTGTTCATCATGATCTAATGAGTTAGTACTTGTTGGAGTAGTTGATGATAATTCTCTTATTGATTGATTTTGTTGTTGTTGTTGTGAAATATTTTGATTTGATGATTGTTGTTGATGCTCTGATTGATCTTTTGAATTTACGGTTGTTGCTTGAGCTTGAGCTGAGTTCATGTTACATCTATATAATTGTTTTTGAAATACTTTATTAAACTCATTATTTTTATTTTCTTCTTCATTTTCATTAGTTTTTGAGTTTTTATTATTATCATTAATTATTATATCATTTACTCCTAATTGTGAAAAATATTGTTTATTTACATCTGATGATCCATGATCAACTCCAATATTATTTAATGCTTTAATATCTTCTTCTAATCTTAATGTTAAAATTTTATTAGCCATTTTTAAAGCCCATGTACATTCTCTTACCATTTTAAATCTTTCTCTAAATATCATTTTATTTTGATCATTTCTAATAGGTGATTTTCTTAAAATTGTAAAAAATTTTATAGTAGTTTTTAACATTTCTCTTGATTGTAATACATGAATTCCTCCATTCATTAAACAAATAGAATTAACTCCAATATTAAATAATAATAGCAAAATAGAATACCATGGTGTATATATCAAATTAGCTTTATTAATTTTATCTAAAACATCTAATACTCCATGACCTGCATCAAGTACCATTTCAGTTTTTAAACCATGACTTGCAATTTTTCTACCAATATGATTAAATAATACTTTACCATGAATACATAAAACTAAATCATAATAATGTAATTTAACTTGAGCTTTTACTAAAGAACTAATTTTAGAATCATCATTTTTATTAAATAATAAATCATTTCTAAATCCAACATTATTAAACCATTCATGTAATTTAACTAATTCAGTATTAACTTGTTGATACTTTAATAAATGAGGATTATCAGTTGGAGATGTATGTATAAAATTAGATATTCTAGCAATATGAATTAAACCTAAAGCAGGTAATGTTAACCAATCATCTTTTTCAGTTTCCTTTTCAAAATCAAAACTTGGAAAACCTCTTGCAAAATCTTCATCTCTAATCCCACTATATCTTCCAGTTTGTAATCCAAAAATTCTATCAAATGTAAAAACACACCAAAATATTCTTTTTGCTTTTAATCTTTCATAAGCTGTACTTACTAATATCTTGGGATTTTCTTCACTAAATCCTAATCCCATTGATTTTGTCATAATAACTGCTTGACCTAATGCATGTGAACAAGAAGTTTGTCTATGAGCAACTCTTAAATATAAAGCCATTAATAACCAACTTTGAATTAATTCAAATGATTCCCATTCAAAACTTAATATACTTATTACTTTATATGCATATTTAAATAATTTTTCTTCTAATTGTAACATTTCAATATTTGGACCTTTTGGTTTTTGAAATTCAGTAAATCTTATAGCTAATACATAAATTAAAAATAATACTGCTGAAAATAATTTTGTTTGATTAGTTTTTATATCATGATCATTTTTTGATAATTCTTCTTTTCTTAATTTATCATAAGCTTCATATTGTTCTCTAAATACTGTCTCATGTAAAATGGCAAATAATGGATTAATTTCTTTAAAAAAATAATTAATTAAATATTTTTCATCAAATTTTATATCAATTTTAGGTAATAATGGTAAATCTTCACTTGTTAAATAATTAACTCCTGACATATTCCAACCAAAATATTGAGGTCTTGGTATAGTAACTTGATTTTTCAGTTCTTCAGATAAATTAGAATACATTGATTTACATAATTCAACTATCAATAAATTTTGATGACGTCTTGAAAATCTCCATTTTGAACTTGATGAAAATAAAGTTTCTGTAATTTGTTCACTTTCTGGTTCTTCAACTCTTGGGGTTTTAAATAATTCACAAGATCCTGATAAAATATTTTCTAAATATTGAACTCTATTTTCTAAATGTGATACATATTCTGTTGTATTTGATTTATCAACTGTAGGTAATCCAAAAGGTTCTGCATTTATCATTGATAATTTTTGACGTTTATTTTGTTCATATCCTGATTGAGATTGGCTGGAACCAGATTTTGAATCATTCCCATTAGATGAATTTGAAAAAGTACATTCTTTCTTTTGTCTAGTACATGTAGTACACGGTATAGTACCAGAACATTTTATTTTATGAGTTTTACATCTATCACAAGCTTTTCGTACTCTAAGTCTTGGTTTCTGTTCTTGTTGTCGAAGTTGTGGCTGCAAGGGTTGTGCTATATTCGAATAATTTTGATCTGATTGAATTGGTGGTGTTTGATGTTGTATTGTTTGACCGATGTTAAGACTACCAGGCTCAAGCTTAGTATTTATTTGTTGTAAGTGCTGTGGGTGTTGCTGTGTCAGTTGTTGCTGTTGTTGTTGTTGTTGTTGTTGTTGCTGTATCAGTTGAGATTGTCTATAGGAATAGACAGGTGGTAATTGGACCGTACCATACGGGGAAAAAGTTGTGTTTGGAGTAGCACCAGAATTTACATTATCAGGAAGTGAAATTTTCGGAAGATCATAACTTCCATTTTGCTCAGACATAACAAATGCTTTGATTTTTGAGGAACGAGTTGTGATTAGTATACTTGATTAATTACATTCGTCAGAAAATAGATGTTTCATAATAAAAGTGTTTCAAATTTAAATCCTAAAAGCCGATCAGGTTTTAATGCTACCAATTCGTCTTAGCTATTTTCTTACAAAATAACTGAAGATCATAGACTTATTTATAAATACATGAATAGTATTGGATCTAAATGAAGACACCTCAAGAATCTAAAGTTTTCGGTATAAGGTTAACACTAGGAGTGGTGCAGTCTGAAATTCATACTTTATATATTTTGTGACTATCATTTATGAATTTAAATTTGGATTACACAAGCTTTGGACCATTTATTAGTTAACTCAAGTGAAAAATTTTCATGATTTCATAAATATCATAAACCATCAATTTTATCATTATTAGCAATAGGAATGCCAAAAAACAAGAAAAGACAGTACATCCGCTGCTACTATTAATACGGCTCCCACTACTGCAGCTTCATATAATGCTAATACTGAAGTGGTAAATGGTGATAATGATACTGCGATCGGCAACAGCTCAACTTCAACTTCAGGGGATGAGGTCATCAAATCAGAGCAACTGGTACAGATTCCATGATTTCATCCTCTGATGTTGGAGCTAAGAGTAGATCCTCGATCCAGATCTCAATCAAATGAGCGGAAGAAGATCTGATAGTTATTTGGATCATGCCTTCAAAAGGATCGAGAGTAATAGCACCAGTGCAAATATGTAACTTTCAGGGCACATTGCAGTATCATGAAGGCAACAAATACTGAGTTCCAATGGAGGGGAAGGAATCTTTCGAGTTACTAAATAACCCAGTTAAATATCCTAACATAATACATTTTACAGCATTTGGTTCTAATTTAGATCTGTATTGATCAAGTAAATGTGCATATGCTGTACCAAATGCTGTAAAACGTATTATGTGAAGATATTTAAGGAAGAAACTGGGTTATTCATATTTTATCAGATTCAGACCATATCAACTTTGATGATTAATTGAGAAAGTATGTTGAACTGAATGAAAGTCATTCTACCAGTGGTCATGAGTCATGAAAAGTTCAGTACCTTATGAGAGATTATCTCCAAACTATTGCAGAGAAGAATTATAATACATCCTGTGCATTAAGTAAAAATAATTCATCGGAAACAAGGTATAAGAATTATCACGAACGTTATATTGTTACTTGATGTTAACGATTTAGTTCTTGATTATTCGTATATCTTGAGACCAAATATTACTTCTTAATGCCCCCAGTGATGTTTGCGGAGTCTTTGATATCATGAAGAGAGTTAAACAAATAGAGAATAAATTTAAACTTAATCACGAACTTTTTAATAGGAAAAGATCATTTATGGTTTATTATTTCAATTCAAAAGTGTGATTATTGGTATATAGTGTTAATTAATTTCAAATGTCTTAACAATCTAAATTACCCATTCATCAGTTTTAAGAGTGACGACAACGATAAAATCAATAAATCCGACGAATAAATAGCTAAGGACATAACAATTCTTTCAAAGAATTAAGTCCTGCTAAATTATTTATGAAATATCTAATTCACTAAGTGCATCACAATAAATCCTATTTGATCTATTTAGTAAAATCAAATACAACCTTATTAACTTTATGTTCATCAAATAATTTAAAAGCTTCCTTTGCATTTAAAATAGAAGTTTTATAATCAATAAATTCATTAAATGAAAATTTTAATTTTTCAAATATTGTAAAAGATTCATTAAATAAAGCCCATGCATGACATCTACCAACTGATAAATTTATATTTTTTAAATATAATTCAAGAGCATTAAAAGGTAATGAACCATGACCCATTCCTAAAGATGATATAAATCCATTTGAACGTATTGCATCATATGCTGTTTTTAAAGCTGATGGTGCTCCAACTACTTCTAATACTGCATCAAATCCAAGACCATTTAAATCTGTTTGTATAAAATTTTTTAATTCATTTGGTTCAGTTTCAAAATTTATAACTTTATAAGCACCTAATCTTTTAGCTTCATTTAATCTTGATTCAATACTATCAATTACAACTATTTTTTCAAAACCAAAATATTTTAATATACGTAATGCACATAAACCTACGGGACCAGCTCCAATTTGACAAATTGAAATATCTTTAAATTCTTGTTTTGGATAACCTTCAGCTTGTTCAATTTTGAAAAAATCTATAATTTTTTTAACTCCATAATAACCTGTTGTAAAAATATCAGCCATTAATAAATAGACAGAATCATCTATTTCTTGATCTTTAGTGCTATTTTCTGGAATTTTACTTAAAACATTCTCTGCATACGGAACTAATACATATTCTGCTTGACATCCATCTAATCCCTTTTTACCAAATGTATTTGTTTTAATACATTGTCCAGTATATCCATATTTACAATAAAAACATTCACCACATTGAATTGAAAAATTTGCTATAACTTTATCTCCCTTTTGGAAATTTTTTATATTTGATCCAATTTCATAAATTTGAGCAATCATTTCATGTCCAACTATTGTTCCTATAGGTCCAGGAGTTACATTACCTCTATATACATGCATATCTGATCCACATAATCCTGAATATAATACTTTTACAATAACTTGATTTGGTTCAGTAATTTGAGGAATTGGTTTATCTTCAACTTCTATATTGTATGGTCCACGAAACACAACTGCTTTCATTGTCTTTTGATTATCAGTCATTTTGTGGTAGTTTGAATTCAATTAGAATATTAAAAACTGAAATCTAGAATATTGTTTATGGTATCATTGTGATTAAATTTAATCGAATGATTCAAGATATTTATTTATAAATTTTTCAAAATTTATCCGCGAAGAAAATCTTTTGAATTGTGGGGGATTCCGATAAGACGAGAGACAATTGGTCTAGATCTTGAAATAGTTTACGTCGTCCTTTCAAGAGTGTTTGATTGTTCTGACGCTCTGTGTCGTTAGTAGTAGTACCAGTGAAAGAGAAGGTTGATGCTTTTTACATTCTAATAGTTAACAACGAGAGAACATAGGTATTCTTTACCATATTAAATTCATAATTCTATAATCAATTGTCCTAATTTTCTATAAGTAATTCCATACCTAATCCTAAGCTAAATATTGAATAAAAGTATTCTTAACAACATCTTTCATATTTTTTAAAAATTGATTATAACTTAAAATTTTATTCATAAAATTATAAATAAAAAACATTAAAATATTTATACAAATAACATTACCAATCATTGCATAAGTTAAATATATGAAAATTGTTAAATATTTTAATGTTAATTTATTTGTTATTTGAGGAAATGAATTTGAAATTGAATCAAATATTTTGAAAATTAATGTTGATTTTATTGGAATACATTTAATTTTATTATCTGATTCTGATTCTTTTATACAATTTGTTGATAACATTGAAACAATATAATTTATAATGAAAAATTTTAAATTTTGTAAAATTGATAAATTCTTATTTGATTCTATATCCATAAAATAAAATAAATCACCATTATTTTCCATTAATTTTTCATGTTTCTGCAAGAAATTTAAATTATCATTTACAATAAATGTAATTAAATCTTTTAAAAAATTATCACTAAATGTTAAAACATCACAAAATGCAAATATCATATTCATTATACCATGAAAATACAGTTGAATCATTATTAAAAAAAATAAAGTTCTTATACTTTGAACCATTATATAAAATACTTTGAGGATACTTAATTTAAGATAATGTTTTAAATTTTGAATAGTTAAATTTGACCAAATCCTTGAATAATTTAATAATATTATGGGAAGAAATTTAAACCATCGTATTCGTATATAATTATTTATATATGTTATATTTGAATCACTTCGTGGTCTTCTTTGATTATTATGATTTCTCATTACTCTATGAATTGCTTCTATTGTTTCTAATCTATCATTTGTTGATAATGTATCTAAATATTGATTTATTTGACCTCTTTGAAATACTTCCAATAAAGGCATATCTAAGTTTTGAAATATATCGACATTAGGAGTATCCATAGTCCTTTGTTTCTTTAGTTGTGTGCTTAAATTAAGTTGATAAGTAGAATTTGAATTTTTTTTGATTTGTGATCAAAGTTGGTGATAAAAAGAATTGCGGCTTATCGTATTAAGTTTGTGGTTTTACATTTATATCCGATTGCTTCACCGAAAGAGATTACATCAAATGCTTACATCATTATGATATGTGTATTAATATACTATATTCCTACTTTTCAATCAACTTGTAATAATTTCCATAATTTGAGCAGTTTTTATAGGTAAAATTCTTTTACTTGCAATTTTATTACTTATAAATTTTTGATCTTCTTGACAAATTTTTAATAAATGTTTTATAAATTGAAAACAATGTAATATAACATCTTGATCAGTATCTAATATATCATTTATAAAATTTGAAGATAATTTTATATCATTATTATTATCATTTTGGTGTTCATTTTGGTTTTCAATTCTATTGCCATTTTCATTTCCATTATCAATTTTATTCTTCATATTATTTTCAACTATAATGATTATAAAACAAGTTGCAAAAATTTCTATAATATCAAAACATAAAATTATAGGTAAACTTGATAAAATTTCAATTAAATTTATAGTTGATTTAATAATTTCTTTCTTTTTTAAATATAATTTTTCACCCATACCTAAATGAATTTTATTTAAAATTTTAAATTGAAAAAGATATGGTGATTTAAAATTTAAATCAAAATTTAATTTTCTTAAAATAATTTCTTCACGAAATAATAATTGATCTTTCCATTCCCAATATATTTTACTTTGTTCATCAATAACAGGTGGTGGTAATTTTTGACCAGTTTTTTGGTTGATTATTGGTTGTAAAGGATTTTTTAAATTACATGATATTAAACTTATTTTATCTGGTTGTCTATAATTATCATTTAATTTACATGATAATGCAAAAGCTGCTGATGTAACAAAATATTTTGATCCTGTTATTGGAACTCTCATATAAAATCTATGTAAATATACAGTTGTTGCTAATATTGTTGGACCATCAACTTTTAATTTTGTACCTAGTCGTATTAAAAATTCATGAATTGATTCTTTTAATCTTAATTCATGAGATAATGATATAGGACGTTTATCTAGTCGACTTGGAGTATTATTTAATACTATAGTCTCGGGGAATATCCATATACTGTTTGATTTTGAATATTTATGATATTTTGATTTTTGATTTTGATTATTATCATTATTAGGTCGCCTTTGATTTTGATCTATAGTTTTATTGAGTTGATTATTACTTTCGTGATCTCTTTGTGAGTTGTGTAAATGATTTAATGATGTAGAAGACCCATTATTGGCCATTGTATGTTGAAGTATATGCTAATGTGATGGTAGTTGCAGATGAACTGGATTGTTTTGTAAATCTATTATTATGTGTTTAGTATGTTTTCTGATTGTAAAGATCTTTTTGTTTTTTTTCATTTCTTTAGTTTCGTAATTGCAACCAAATTTGATATAGCACTCTCCAACAACAAATATCAACCTGTTATTGGAATTACACCAATGATACAAGTACTGGTACTAGTTTACAGCAGGAGAATGTATTTAACTGTTAAAGGCTCGGTCGGTGAAAAATAGCATGTGTTAAACTGCTGGTAATGTTGAATACAGAGCAGTTTTCATGTAAAATAGCGATGGTTTGGATCAAGTGTTTTTTGATCAGTACTAAAGATTAATCCTGACTTGATTTTGAATCAGTTAGCTCCAACCTTAACCATTCTTGAGACTATTGCCTGTTGAAAGTCTACCTCCTACAAAACAATTCTATGACAATTCCTGTACATAAATTACGTCTCAAAATTTATTGAAATCAAAAATTGACAATACAAAAAAAATTTTCAAAATTTTCAATAAGTAAATATTTCACCTTAATTGAAACCATAGATCAACACCAGACAAAAATCACTCCCACCAAAACCATGGCATCTGATAATTCATTTATGCATTTGATAAGACCAAATGTATTAGCACCGGCAGCTGGATCAGCAAATGGACCAGCTAAAATTAAAATTCATACACCAGCAATATTAACAATATTAGAAATTATATCAAAACAAATTTTAGGTAAAAGAATTATTGGAAGTTTATTAGGTATAAGATCAGATGATGGATTAGAAATTGAAATTAAAGATGCTTTTATGGTTCCAATTAATGAAACTGGTGATTCAATTATAATAGAAGATCAAGCTCATAAATTATTATATCAATTATATAAAAAATCACATCCAAAAGAAACTGTTTTAGGATGGTTTGCAAGTATGAAAGAAATTGATGATACAACTAGTTTAATACATGATTTTTATTCAAAAGGAACAGATAGATGTTTTCCTCATCCTGCTATATTTTTAAATATTCAATATTTAAATGAAAAAAATGAAATTATAACACCAACTTTTAAAACTTATATAGGAGCAGCAGTTGGAAAACCACAAACTAAATCAAATGTACAAATTGGTTGGAATAAAACAACAAATGTTAATAATTCATATATTTTTACACCAATTCCAAATTTTATAATTAATGGTACAATAACTGAAAAAATTGCATATAATCAATTATTACAAAATTCAATAATAAATAATACAAATAGAGACCAAGAACAACAGTCATCAAACAACAACACATCATCATCTTCATCATCATTATCAGTTTCTACATCATCATCAACATCATCATCATTTTCATCATCATCAAATCAATTATCATTTTTATCTCAAAATTTACAACAAGTACAAAAAAATGTTGAAAATTTAATCACCTATATAAATAATTTATCAACCACTGATAAAAATTCAAATAAAAATTTAAATTTATTAAGACAATTAATAAATAATTTAATAAATAAACCTGAAATCTTGATTAATACTGAAATTTTAAATAAAAATTTTGAAAATTATAATCAAGATATTATAATGATTGAATATTTAACTAAAGCTTTAAAAGATCAAATTGAATTAAGTGCAAGATTAACTGCAAAAGCAGAATCTGAAAAAAGATATTAATTTATAGAGATATTTCAATTTGATTTTTAAGTTGGAAGAAGAGTGCAAAATGAATTATTAAATAGAAATTTCACAAATTATTGGGAGGTTGACGATTGTACGGGAAAAATCAATGTCATGGTTGAGTTTTAGCTATCAGTGCAAGAATTAATAGATTTTGATATTTTACTTCATGATGATTTTAATAGACATTGATATAAAAGATTTGAGCAAAAATTAAACAAATTAAGCGATCAATTTTTTGCTTCTTTATAGATTAATAGGTTAGTTCAAAAGCTGTAATAACACAATCATTAATGATTTATTAGAATTCAAATTATCACTTTCTCCTTTTCTTGAATCTTTAATTGAGTAAGACAAATTAAATACTACCCAAGAGACTAAATAAACCCTATTTATATGATTTGTTTGATCAATATTTGGGGTATGCGATATGATCAGTATCTAGATAATATAAATGAGCAGCATAAACTTTAGTTCTAATCGTACTTTAATTACTACGATATTTGGGGACCGTATTACCGGGCTAAAGCTTAATTTTCAAACCTTAGCTTAGGTTAAGTAGATCTAATAATATAATGTAAGAAATCAAATTCTTTTGTGAAACAATTTGTATTAAAATCTGAGACATCCAATAAAAAAGTGTGGTTCAGTAACAATAATTAATATGGCGAATTAGTATAAATGTTAATGTATAAATATGTCAATGTAGTATTCTACTAATTTACTACTACTACTTACTACTTTACTTCAACCTATACTTTACGAATATTACTTGTGTGAGTTAAATTTCAATTAAAGTTTTACTTCTCTCACATACTTATTTTTCTATATTCTCATCTGTGAGATGATTATAATAATAAATGTAACATCTTTTAACATTAAGTATATATTATAAGATTTAAGATTTTTCATTTAACTTTCTCAATTTCTTAATCTTTTTCAATAGACTATGAAAACATTATTTATATACCTCTTGAAAATGTGTATATGTGAAAATGTGTAACGAAGAATGTCAGTTTAAAAGTCACAAGAGTAAATAAATAAATAATAGGAATACAAAAGGGGTAATAGTAAATAGATTATATTGCATCTGTTAAAAACATTAGTGAATAACAGAAGTATAGTATACCTATATTCTATTTTATCCACTATAACCAGTTGATTAGTACGCTGTATCCTTGATATTCCTAGTATCTAGGATGGATATAGTATTGTAGATATAGTATTGTAGATACCTAGTATCTATGGTAGTATTAGTTCTCTTCTTATATACTTACATTTCTTTATTGTCTCTTCTAATCCTTATTGTTTTAATCATTCATACATTATACATAGATAATAATAATATTGAAACAATAAAAAAATATAATAAAGAGAGAGAGAAGAGATAAATCATACAATATACATTTCTCCTTTCTTTATATCACATATTCTTACAACCAATAAGAAACCAATAATCTAGTATTATACTATATATATTCAAGCAGATATACCTATACAAGTATATTATTACTACTCATCGTGTAAGCTTAAATCAACATTATCTACATCAGCTCAATAATTTTTTAAGAAAAGGAGGAGAAGTTATATACTACTACTGTATATTCAAATTTTTTTACAACCAACTTAAAACTTATAATTTCAAGCATAAATTAATCTATATATATTCATAAGTTATACCTATTCAACCTACTATTCAGTTATTTAATCTTTGGAAATACAATATATTATACCCTTTTATATATTCAATTTTGAGAGAAGATATATAAATAAAACAGTACATTATTTACAACCATTTTAAATAATAGTATTAAAACCAAATTCAAAAAAAACTCATATATTCATATATTCATATAATATATCTATATTTGCCAAAATATTATGAATAATTTCCGAAATATTCAATTTAAATCATTCATATATACTTGTTTTACAAATCATTTTATTATATCGATATAAAAGCTTTATATAAAAATTTTAAATTAAAAGGGAAAGAGATAGATAACAAATATCTATCTAATTCCATTCTAAGTACTTCTATAAAAGAAGAGAAGGAAGTATTATCAACACATTTTTAAACTAAGAAAGAAAGAAGGAAAATCACTTAATCTTAAAACTATTCAATAAAACAAAATGCCGAAAAGTCCTAATAGTATAGGATTTCAGAAGCAATCTTATTCAAGTGGTAAATCAAAATCTTCAAATCATTCAAATAATTCATTCTACAATAAGAATCAATCTAATAGTAACCATCATTTAGGTGGTAAAAATTTAAAATCAATGAATAGAAGAAAATTTAGTATTGCAAATTCAACTTCTTCATCATCTTCATCAACATCAAGTGGTTCAGATGACAATAATGATGACGATGAAGATTCACAAACTACAAAAATAAATCATAAGTCTAATTCAAATTCAAATTCAAATAAATCATCAAAACAAATTCATTATATAGATTCAGATTCAGATTCTTCATTAACTGCAATTTCTGATAATGATGAAAATAATTATACAAAAAATAAATTACAACAAAGATATTTAACTTCTACAACTAGTGGTAAAAAAGGAATTAAAACTAGCTTGAAAAAAAATAAATATGGTAGAAAAGAAATACCTAAAAAAACTTTAGATTATACTAAGAATAAAAATTTCCAAGAAGATGCAATAATGTTATCATCTGATGAGGAAGAAGAAGAAGATGATGATGAAAATGAAGACGAAAACGATGATGAAGATGAAGATGACGATGACGATGATGAAGAACAAAGTCATTTAGCTGGATTATATTCTTTAATGAATAAAGGTAAACGCATCAGAGCTTATGATTCAAATGAAAGTAATAATGATGATGATTCAGAAGAAGAAGAAGAAGAAGAAGAAAATTTTAGTTCATCAGATGATGATTCAGATATTGATTTTGTAAAATTACAAAAACAACAAAAACTTCAATCAATAAAAGCTGTTAAAGCAGCTAAAGGTTTGAAAAATATTGATAAATCTAAGAATGCAGGTCAATCAAAAGATGAATCAATTTTAAATTCAAGTTCAACTCCAACTGATCATCAATCATCAAATCATAAAAAATCTACAAATTCACAATCGAAATCAAAACGTAAAAATTCAATTAAATTTGGAAGAAGAAAATCAGATGCAGTTTTACCTGATTTAAATTTTACTTTTGATTTTAATAATAGCGAATTTAATAATAATGATGAAAATGAAATAAATTCTTCAAATAAAATTGAAGAAGAAGATATTGGAGAAGAAATTGATTATTCACCATCATTAAATAATTTAGAATCTTCAAAAAATAATTCAGAAATTAATCATCATCCACAATCATTTGAATTTGAATTTGATAATAATTTATTAAATATTCCAAAAATTGATGAAAGTGAAATAAATTCAGATGAAGATTATGAAATTGATGATAATGAATTATTAGCTACATTACAAGCTGAAAATGATTTTAATGAATTTTTACCAAATATTATTTCTTCAAATTCTAATAATGAAAAATTAAAAAATGAATTTGATATATCACAAACCAATCAAAATAATAATGATTCTTCAATTATTGATGAAAATGATAATGATAATGATGATGATGAAAATGATCTATTTTTAAAAGAAGAAGAAAAATATTTAGTTAATGAATTTGAAAATAATGGATTTGATGTATTTGATGATGATAATGATGAAAAAATTGTAGAAGAAGATCAAGATGATTATGATGAAGATTCTGATGAAGATGAAGATGAAGAAGAAGAATATACATTTGATGAAGGTAGTGAATATTCAACTTCTAAAAAAATTATAAATTCATTTAAAGGAATTGGAGAAGATAAAAATAAACCTATAATAACTTATGAAAGTAATAATGAATCAAATGAAAGTGAAGATGATTATGATGATGATGAATATATTGATTTTATTGATTTTGATATGCTGCCATTATTTGATAAATCATCTGATCAAGAAGATGAAGATGACAATGAAAATGAAAAATTAAGTAGAAGAAGAAATAAACAAAAATTAACTAATAGTGATGAAGATGATGATACTTATTTATGGAATTATTTTTTCAGTTCAGATAATGAATCAGATAATGAAGATATTATGGGAGTGGATGGAGTTAGTTCAAAACAATCAACATCAACTATGAATATAAAATCTTCAAAATCTTCAAGAGATAATAAACTTGGTAAAATTAAGAAACCAAAATCATCAAAAAGGAAAAATAAAAATTTATCATCACAATATAATAAAGATAAACTTAATTATAATCAAATTATGAATTTGGAATTTGATCACCACAAAAACAAATCACAAAAAAGACCAAATTTTAATGATTTTAAAATTGAATTTAATGATGATGATGACGACTTTGATGAAGATGATCAACAATATGATAGTTCAGAATCAACAGATTTAGATGAATCATTACCAAAATCAACTCAATTTTCAAAAATTCCAGGTATATCAAAAAAAGCAACTGAAGTATTAAGTTCAAAAACTGCTGATTATAGACCTCCTGTATTAGGTTCATGGATTACTTTAGATAGTAAACCTTTTGGTATAATTGATGGTTTAAGTACAAGAACTTTACAACAATCAAATAATAATAATAATAAATTCCAAGAACCAAGGAATTTTAATAATAAAATTACTAATTCTGATAATAATATTGATAATAGTAATCAATCTGGTTTTACATCATCTTCAACTAATTCATCATCATCATCATCATCATCTACTACTATAAAGAATAAGAATCTCACACCATTATCACCATCATCAACATCTTTAGATTCTACACAATCACAATCTTTAAATCCACAACAACAAAGGAAAAGTATAATTAATCCACAATCTCAACCTCAACAACAATTAAAATCAGATGATCAAGTATTAGGATTAGATGAATTATTAAATATAAATGAATTAGATAATAATGATGAAAATGATATTAAAATATGGAGAGATTTTAATAATTCATCAAAATTAAGAGTACCATTAGGAGCATTTAGAAATAAATCTATCTTGCTAAATAATAATTTAAAAACTCACCACCAACATAATCAAATTAAAAAACAAAGACACGTTCAACAATCAAAAAAAGATAAATCATCTAAGAAAAGAACAAAATCTATAAATAATTTAGAAATTGATGGTTATAAATTAACTAAATCTGGTTTATTTAGTATTGAAACTTTAAATAATGTTGAAAAATTTTTAACTGAAAATACTGGTAATAATATTAAAGATCTATCAAATAATGTTAATGTTGGAACTACCACTGATTTGGGATCAAGTGCTGATGGAACTAATACTAATGTTGGTGGAAATGGGAATGGTGAAATTAATGGGAATCATGATATAATGGCATTAATTGAAAGATTATAGGGAAAATGGTTGCTCACTAAAGTGGGATGGACTGAATTATTTCCAATTAATGGAGTTGTTGTTTTTTTATGGTGTCATTTGATTTATTTTTTTATTTTGTTTGTACATTATTGGTTGTTCGTATTCAAGGAGTTGGTTTTAATTACTTTTATTTTAAATCTATTAGTTTATTAGTTTATTAGTTTGTTATTCAATTAAGATTAATTTTTAACACGATCATTTTTATGGATTAAAATTAATCAACGTTTCTATGTTGATTTTCTTTCTTCTCTCCATTTTCTTTTCCCAAATTGTATTTCATCTTTTGGTCATATGTTGAAACTCAACAGACTCTTTTAGAAAATCAATATCTTATTGTAATTTGGAAAAAGGGAATCATTTGTTTACAATATCAAAATCATGTCAAATAAAGTAATATTTATCTATACTTCATTCCACATGGTCTTGATTTTAACATTGTCTCTACAATAGTAAAATATTTTGATTAAAAATCTTCCCAAAATTATGTTAATTAGATTTAAATAGGATTTTATGAGCATAGTTAGACGTACCTCCATATAAACTTAAATATCTCTTTTAAATAGCTCTTTACAATCCTTGACTCGGTTTCTTTCTCTAACCCTTTTCTCTCATTATTGTATTTTACTATTTATTTGTAAGTTTTAAGAAATTCTTATTTAATAATTTAACACTTCTTGAAATTGACTCAACAAATTCATTTGAATTAAATGACTATGAGATGGAATACAAATCAGATCTTTTCATATATTCCATCTCATAATACATTCAAATAAATTTGTTAAGTCAACTTCTTTCTCTGACTTGAGATTCTTAGCAGCAAATATTCTTAGCTTCACCTCCCTAGATCAACAACTATGATACGGCTCAAATGTAACTTGACCCCCATATTAATTTTGGACCATATGTAAAAACTGATTTCACAAACAGTTTAAAACTATGGATTGCAGAAAATGTCTTGGTTGTCTAGCCATTTCAGTTATTGATAATGATTAAAATTATTGATAATTTTAAAATTTTTAAAACTTGAAAATATTTCATGTTCTAAATCGTAGCTGAATGTCTCGTGAATATAGTCCCAAATGATATATCTCTAGACACAAACAGATAGTCAAATCTGGAAAAGACTTAAAACACGATATTCTGAATCATTCATTGAATAGTTGTATAACAAGTTAACTTACCAATAGTTTGAATGAAACTTGTGTCGAATTCCTTTACATGAAAAAAAAATGAGAAAAGTAATCTCGCGCGCATTCTTCAACACATGATTATCTTTAGGTAGCACAAAAAGTTCAATTTCTTAATCTCCAGATGTTTCCATATATTATAGAAGAAAGAAACAACATCTATACTAATTTTCAATACTTTTACAATACAACATTCAATGCTTTATATTCAATAATTCATACAAAAATCAAATCCAAGTCTTATAGCTGAAATACTTAAAAGCTATAAAAATTAAAATATTCAAAACAGACTGAGTAAAATTAATATTTCAACCTTGCTAATCATTAAATTCAATTAGATTAACATTCAAAAAATGACAACAATTGAACAACCTACATCTGAAATTTCTAATCCAATAAGAATATCAAGATCACCTTCTTCATCTATTTCAATTTCAGTTTCAAATAATTTACCTTTATCAACTTCAAATTTAAATGGTGATAATTGGGTTAATATGGAATTAGGATCAAGTTCTCTAATATATACAAATCCAAATCAAAAGATTAGTTCACCTGTAGTGCCAAAAATTGAAATTGAAAGTTCTAGAAATTCAAATTTAAATTTAATAAAGGAATCATTGAATTCTTTGAATGAAAATGTGACAATAAAAGATAAAAGACTGAATTTAAATAAGTTATCAAATCTAATACAAGAAGTTTCTAAAGATGATCAATATTTTGGTATAATAAGTAATGAACTAAGAAGTAAAATATGGAGTGAATTTTTAAATTTATCAAACACAACAGATCCTACATTAATAGAAGAATCACAAACAATATCATCAACAATAAAATCAAAAGATTCCTCCAAAATCAATACAACTAATAATTCTGTTTTATCAACCCCAACAACATTAAATAATGGAAGATTTTCTCCACAAATTTTTCTTGAAAATCTAAATTCAGTTGATTTACCACCTCATAAAGATGAAGAACAAGTTAAACTTGATATTCAAAGATCATTCACCATTTTATCACATATTCAACAACAAACCATATCATCTTCATCACTGTCATCAAAACATGATACCCCTTGCAGTAACTTACCAAACCATAGTGATGATGATGATGATGGTGAAAATGACCACTTCCTGGAAACTATGGAAAAGGGATCTTCTTTTGCTACTATTTTCAGTTCTTCAGATATAAATAATTTAAAAAAAATATTATTAAATTTAATAATTAAAGTATTAAGAAAATATCCAAGTTTAGATTATTATCAAGGATATCATGATATTGCATCAATTGTATTATTAATATGTTATAGTAATGAGAATAAAATTTCAAGTAGTCATCATCAAGAATCAACAACTTCCATCACAACATCATCAATTGAAAATAATATAGATCAAGAATTAGCTTTCAGAATATTGGAAAAACTTACAATATATCATTTAAGAGATTTTATGATATCTGATATAAATTTATCAGTAAATCATTTAAAATTAATACCAACAATTTTAGAACTTTGTGATGATCAAATTTTTGAACTTATAAAACAAACTTCTCAATCTTATAATATAAATCAAAAAGAAAAATTTTATGATTATAAATTTTATCAAGGATTATCATCAATTTTAACTTTATATTCTCATGATTTATCAAATTTAAATCATATTTTAATTATTTGGGATTTTATATTAAGTAATAATTCAGTTTTAATTAGTAGTTATATTTATGCATCTTCATTAATTATACTTAAACCCAAGATTTGGGAATTTTTACAGTTGGAGAAAGATCAAATGGAATTTAGTGGTATTGATCATGACTTAGTACATACGGTACTATCACCATCCAATTTGTTTGATGGATTATCTGATCAAGATTTATCTAAAATTTTAAGTAAGTCTATTGATTTATTGACTGATTTTCCAGCAAATAATACTTTGAATTATAAGAAATGGTTTGAAACTTACAATGACCACTCAGTGCTAAACAACACATCCAACCCAAATTTAAATATTATTGATATAGAAACAAAATATGGAGATTTATTAAAGGACAATCACGATTTAATAGATTTAGTACAAACTCAAAATGATGAAATAAATAGACAAACAATTGAAGAAATTCAAGAACAACAAAAATTATTACTAGAAGAAGAAGAATTTCAAAATTCAAAAATATCATCAACTTATGAAACTGATCAAGATGAAGAAGAAGAAGAAGAAGAAGAAAGTGAAAATAATTCACAATTAAATTCAATGAGTTCTTCATTAACTTTAAATACATCATCATCAATTCATAAAATAAAATCTTCAAGTTTTTTTCAAAAATTATTTAAATCTTCACCTACTTCAGATTATGATGAAGATGAAGATGAAATTATAGAGATAAATGAAAAAAATACAATCAAAGAAGACAATAAAAAGATTAATACTAAACAATGGATTCTTCCCAATTCCATTTATTCAATAATTTCAATTAATAATATATATAAATTTGGTATAGCAATAGGTATAATTGGTGTTTTTTTACATATAATAATAATAAATAAACATAATTTAATTCAAATATATAAAGACAATTTAATTACCAATGGTGGTGGACCACACATAGTTAATAATTTACCACGTCAAATTATAAATATTGGTAAAAATTTATTTAATAAAACTTTTCAACAATCTAATAATATTTTTCAAATTGGGTCTGGTACTTTAAGGAATTCAATTTATGGATTTGAGATATAATAATAACGTTTTAAAAATGAAATTTTTATTTATAGGTAGTATTTATACATTAATAATACAAAACACGAAATATTAATTCGTTACGTTTAACAAAAGTATCTATGTAAACTTTCAATTTTTGTTAGATCTATTAATCAAAATCAATTTCATAAATTAAAACAGTATCAGTATAATTTCCATGTCCCCAACCTCTATAACCACAAGCACTAACCATAAATCTACCAGTTTCATCAACATATAATTGACTTAACATACCACCATGATGACCAGGTACAATTAAAAATGGAGTTGCTTGTTTTTTTGTATTAACAGTTAAATTATTTAAATCATTATATAATTTTAAATTATATAATCTTATATTATCATTTGATCCACATAATAAAAAATCATTATTTGGTAATGTACTTATACAACTAACGGGCCCACTTATCTTGGGAAATGTTAATAATTTTGAAACATTTGGAATATAAGTTGAATTAGAAGAAGTGTTATGTAATTTATGAGGCATTTTAATTGAAATTTCTTCAATTGTTGAATTTCTACGTCCAGCATAGATAAATTCTCCATTATTTGACCAAGTTGATGACATACACCATGGTGGTATACCTTCACTTATTCCTAATTTTATAACTGGTTGTGATAATCTTATATCCCAAATATTTATTGTTCCGTCTATACTTGAACTCATGAATATATTTGAATTAAGATGATTTTTTGATGTTGATGGATTTATTAAGGAAGCTCCATTTGATTGTGATTCTTTATTTTTACGTTGATCATCCTCTTTTGATAGTGAATCATCGTCATCGTTGCCAAATAATTCTTCATCATTTGCATCAGTTTCAGGACCATCAATTTCATTTTCAAATTGGAATGTTACATCACTTAATCCATCTGGTCTAAATTGAATTTGAGAAATTTGTCCAGAACAAGGTTGAAATTCATTTGTTATTTTTCCAGTATTTAAATCCCATTCTTTTATAGTTTTATCCCATGATCCACTTAAAAATTTATTTTGATCTTGATTTAATTTTAAAGCACTTATTGCATCAGTATGTCCCTTTATTTTTTTACTCTTTGCTTGATCTTTTTGATTTGTTTTACCATGATTAAAATAATGATGTATTGTACCTTCATTATATCTCATAGTATACAAGCTAATTCCACCACTTAATAATCCCAGTAAACACCAATATCCATTTTTTTCAGCTTCTAATGCATAAATTGGATTTATTTTTGGTTCATAAGAAACACTTCCTGTTGAAAAATCAGAATCTTTTAATTTTGGATTTATTGTCATTAATTCTTTTCTTGTTAATGGTTGTTCATTTTCCCAATATGAAACAATAACTCCTGCATTAGTTAAAGAATCAGATAAATTATGTTTTTGAGCCATTGTTAAAGGTGATTTTCCTTGAATTGACAGTATAAAATCATATTTTCTAATAAATCCATCTTCACCACCAGTTAAAATCCATTTAGGTCCTTCAGTAAAAGCTAATGCATGACATTGAGATGTATATGGTATTGCTACTTGTGGTATTATATCATATTCTGTTGCTTTACGTGCTTTTGCTATAACTTGATCTCGAAATGATATGTTTGTTTCTGATTTCCGTATTTCATCTAATAGTTCTTCTGTTCGTTTCTGTTGTTCTTCAGAAGTTTTGGTGGCTTCAGTATCATCTCTCGGTAGAATTTCATTTTCATTAGTTTCTTTATTATGCTTATTATTGTTTTTATTATCATTATCATTACCTCCATTTCTTTCCTTTTCCTCCAAAATTGATTCGTTATTGGGAACTTTTTCACTTTGCTCCTTTTCAATATTATTTGTATTTGAATTGTTCTCTTCTCCATCATTAGACGTATTTTTACTATCCATTGATACATCATTCATTTCCTCTTCATCATCTTCTTCTTGCCCTTCCTCTTCCTCGTCATCTTCACCTCCATCCTCGTCGCCGTCTTCATCCCCGTCTTCATTCTCTCCATCTTCATCCCCATCTTCATCTCCTTCATCATCATCTTCATCCATTTGATCTTGATCTTGTTCATTCATATCTTGATCTTCATCCTCTTCCTCTTGCATATTATAAGATTGTCTTTGTTGTTCCTCTTCATCTTCTTGTTGATACTCCTCCTCCATTTCATCATCTTCTACATTGAAAATATCATCCTGTTCAATTGAAGCCATTAGACTTTGAAATTGAATTGAACTTGATTGTTTAACTGCTTGAGATCATACCTATTAAACCATAATTTTTCAAAATAAATGTTACTACCAATTGATAAGAGAGGCTACCACCTAATTTGAAAAATTTGAATTATTCATATCACCATGCTTATTTAAAAAACACGTTTATCGATAAGAGACAAGATAAAGATGTATTACTTAATAGAGCATATTGAAAAAACGAGCCAATTCCTCACAATTGCTAAAGCAAACAAGAAATTGATTGAATTCAATTAAAACCTATTAACTAACCTAAATCGTCTTATTCAAAAAATTTATTCATAAATCCAACCGAATAAAGCTGGTTTATATTCAACCAATTCTTCTGGTTTAAACCATAAACCAATTTCCTTTTTAGCAGATTCAACTGAATCAGATCCATGACAAACATTTCTACCCATATCAACAGCAAAATCACCTCTGATAGTACCTGGGGCACTTTGTAAAGGATTAGTAGCACCTAATATAGCTCTACCTTGTTTAACAACATCTTTACCTTCCCAAACAGTAGCTAAAACTGGACCACTTAACATATAACTTAATAATGATGGGAAAAATGGTTTTTGTTGTAAATCTTCATAATGAGTTCTTAATAATGATTCAGTTGGTTGAACTAATTTAATTCCAACTAATTTATAACCTCTATTTTCAAATCTACCAATAATAGCTGAGATTAATCCTCTTTGAACACCATCTGGTTTTATAGCGATAAAAGTTCTTTCGTCTGACATTTTAAAATTTGTTTTGGATTTCGAATGCTTAATTCAATTGAGAAAAAAATGTAAAAAAATGTGTAAGAAATGAATGAAAAAAAAATTCTAGAAATGGATTTGTTGAAAAATTTTTGCAGAATGAAACACTTGGTTTTAAGAAGGAAAAAATAGTTTTAAGAGCTGATTTTCGTTCTAAATCTTCGCGGAAGTGTTGGTTCGAATAGATCAATTCCATACAGAATTTTTTTTCTCTCAGACGAGACGGACTCAAATTTGGTACGAATAAAATTTCTCCATTGATCTGAAAAATTTTAATACTTCTAATTAGATCTATACGTTTTTACACCATGTTCTTCAAAACTCACTTCAAAAAATGCGGAAAATAGGTCACAGAAGCTTCGATTGTCCATAAACCTGGTGATAACAGAAACGATATGGACAATCGAAGCTTCTGTGACCTAATTACGGCATTTATGGACAATCAAACACCAGAATGAGTTTCAACGAAAAGCCGTCTTCAACCTGGTTTCAGAGGACCTTGAAACAAATTCAAAGCATACTGGTTCACATATTGGCTTCAAGTTTTCAGGTGCAAACCCTGATGCTGGCTCCAGTTTTGATGTTAATGATGTCAGTGTCTGGTGATGGAATGCTTGGTCCAATGGATGTTATTGGTGATCAAGTGTCGGTAGAAACTGTTCAGGTGGTAAAGAACGATCAAAATGTTTCTTATCAAGAGTTAAGTAGGAGCTCTGCAAGTGGAGCCAATCAAGGAACTGGACAGATTGATAGTAAGGTTTTGAATCCAGAAACGTTGAAGGTAAACTCGTTAAGAGTTTTTGATGCAGTTGTATCAGACTTTGATATTTTAGAACTTTTCGATTCCTCAGAAAAAGGCTTGAGTACCGTGAATAAAACTTTTATGGCCCCGGTGCTACTATGAGATAACATGGGGAAGGTTAGAGGATTAATAGCTTTGATGAATTTAGGTGTGAGTGCATCGTTCATCAATGGATTAAGACCACTATCATTATCATTATGTTTATGCCAGAGATTTTATCAAATTAGGTTAGACGATAATATTTCTGACATAAGTCTTATGATGAGTAATAAATGAACACGGCCAAGTTCTATCAAGACAAGATACGAGCACCCTATCTTACTAGGTTGTGAACAGTTAATACAGACCAGCTGCTCAATTATTTGATAAGCCACTAGCTTGTGTTGAACAAAGATGAAACCTCACCGGTACATACTTTTTAAACAAATAGAGTATAGAAACTACAACCTCAATTTTGTAATAAATATAAAATTTAATTAACTAAAACCTAACCCAAAATAACTATCCTAAATAGATAACATCCACAAGAACTAAAACTCTTTTGCCCCCCCTGTAACAGTATTCAAATGACCACTCACTTTCAAACAAATCATTACTAAACCCTCAATCAATCAATCAAACTTAATTAATTTTAATAATGAGAACTTGATTGAGCATAAAAAGTATTTGGAGTATATAATTCTTCTTCTTTAAACCCTTTTTGTTCTTGTAAATGTCTAACATTCCAACCAACAAATTCCATTTCTTGTTGAATATAATGAATTTCTTTCATTACTTGAGGATCAAAATACATTGGTGATATAACATATTTTGTAACTATTGGAGTTACAATTGATCCTGCTATTAATCCTTTAAATCCTGTTGCTATAAAACTCGACATTTTTCTCTATAGTTGTTGTGATGAATTTGGTTTTTGTTGTTGTTGTTGTTTATCGGTTTTTAACGTTTATGTGATACTAATTTAATGAGAGTGATTGATGTTTGCTTGATAAGTTATCCGATTCTGCTTTATAATATATGATTTGTATGAGGATTTATGAGTGATGTTATAATGATATTACTGTATTCTGTGATACAAGATGGATATAGTTTCAATAAAAATAATGATATAATGGATCTATATAACTTGAAATTTGAAACATGGGGAAAATGTTCTTTTATATAATTAGTTATTTTTTAGTCAGGTTAAATCCTATAACTTAATTAATTATGCATAAATTTTAGATTTAGTGGGGAAAAAAATTATAACGAAGTAATCATGAGAAATTGGGAAACTTTGGAAATATCATATCATTCAATTGATAATGTGACTAAATAGATGTCATTAAGGTCTCTAATGTTGACATGATTTTGATTATTTGAGTGTTTAATTGTTCTAGTCAAAGGCCCTTTATACACAGATTTGGTTGTACTGTTTACTTAGATTCTTCTTTAATTCCCCGGGATATTCCTAAAAACAATAGATTTATAAAATCATATGTCTTTTACGCTGAAGAAGTAAACAGAGTCTAAGCTAACCATAAATCGAATGATGCCACTACACAAATCAATCATGTCGGTACAGCACCTAGGCTTGAATTAGGGGGATATATATACGTCACATAAGTCAACTGTCCCATCACTAACCGTGTATCATATCATACTTCAGTGCAATGAAAATAAAAGCGAGATATTGAACAAAATCGGACTTAATAATTTTATAACCGAAACTTGAGACTAATTACAACAAAGACATTTGTAATACTTAATTACATCATTAATTCAGAGCTACTAATCATAAGTCTAGAAACTGTATGATCGAGTCCAATTATAAAACTTGACTCGAAACATTATGAAGGATATTCTCTATATATTGACTATAATCTCTACTTTAAAAAGTTTAGTGTTTATATACATCCATTTAATTATCGATTACTTACCCTCAGATGAACCACCACCATATAATTTTCTCCATTCTTCAATTTTTTTATCATCAATTCTACTAAATAAATATTGAGCTTTACCAATATTATGACCAGGTGATATGAAAATATCAAATTTATCAGGAATACTTAATGAAGGAATATTTAAAATTTCATTTATTTTTGTTGTTGTAGAAGGCATAAATGGTGAAATTAATGAACCAATTAAATAAACTAAATTTATACCTACCACCATAACAGTATCTGATTTTTCCGGGTGATCATTATATAATGAATTATCTAATTTATTATCTTGTAAAAATTGATTACCCTTTGATGAAATTGACATAGCTAATTCTAAACCTTTTCTTAATTGTACATTTTCCATATTCTTATTATATTGACTTAATAAATCATTAATTTCATTAACAAAATCTGAATAATTTGGAATTGTTTCAATATTATAATTAGGTAATACTCCATTATATTTTGAATTTAAAAATTTAACAATTCTATTTACAAAATTTCCTAAATTTGCTAATAATTCACTATTGTTTTTTCCAACAAATTCATTCCATGAAAATTGAGAATCATTTGATTCTGGACGAATAGAAGATAAGTAATATCTCCAAACAGAAGAATTTATTCCAGTATTTTTTGCATTATTACCAAATACTCCAATATTTCTTGATTTTGAAAATTTCCCACCTTCATATTGTAAATATTCTGTTGTACTTATATGATGTAATTTTGTCCACTCATCTCCAGTACCAATTAATGAAGCAGGAAAAACAACTGTATGAAATGGAACATTATCTTTACCCATAAATTGATATAATTCAACATTTTTTGGATTTTTCCACCATTTTTGCCAATTTTCAGTAGATGTATCTTTATTATCTTTAAAATAATTAGCTGTTATTGAAACATAACCAATTGTTGCATCAAACCAAACATACAAGACTTTATTTTCATATCCCTCCAAAGGAACAGGAGTACCCCATTTTAAATCTCTTGTAATACATCTTGGTTCTAAACCTTGTTTTAACCATGAATTTGTAATAGTTTTTGAATTTTTTGACCATTCTTCACTTGCTTTTATAACCCATTCTTGTAATGGTTTTTCTAAATCATTTAATTTTAAATAAATATGAGTTGATTGTTTTACCACGGGTTTTGCTCCATCAACTTTACATCTTGGTTCAATTAATTCTAATGGATCTAATAAATTCCCACATTTATCACATTGATCACCTCTTGCATCTTCATAACCACATTTGGGGCAAATTCCTTCAACAAATCTATCAGCTAAAAATGAATTATGTTTTTCACAATATAATTGTTCAGTTGTTTTTTCTTCCATAAATTTATTATTATAAAGTTTTGTAAATATATCTTGTGCAATTTCAGTTTGTAATTCTGTTGTAGTTCTACCAAAATAATCAAATTCAATATCAAACCAATCATAAACTTCTTTATGAATTTTATGATATTTATCACATAATTGTTGTGGAGTTACTCCATCTTCCAAAGCTTTAGTTTCAGTAGCTGTACCATATTCATCAGTACCACAAATATATATAGCATTATAATTTCTATTTTTAACATATCTTGAATAAATATCTGCACTTAATACTGAACCAATAATATTACCTAAATGAGGAACATTATTAACATAAGGTAATGCTGAAGTAATTAAAATATTACGTTCATTTGATTTTGGAATAATTCTTTCTGCTTGACTTTTGACGAGAATATCTTTATTATAATTTTGAGCTCCTGTATTGGTTTCTTTTTCACGTTCTAATTTTGTTATTGATAACGCTGATTTAATACCTTCAGCAACTTTTTCATTGGATGCAAATTCAACAAACCATTTATTTTCCGTGGTACCGTTATATATGGGGTATAATGATGCAAATAATATTATTTGAGATGGAATTAATTCAACTTTAGATGGAAATGATATTTGGATTTTTGATAATGATTCCTTTTTATTAGTCAATAAAGCTTTATAAATTTGTTTTTCTTCTAATTTTATATATTCATTTGTAGTATAATCATTAGCTAAATATTTAACAATAGCATTTGGTTCAAATAATTCAAATCCAGTTTTCTTATCTTGTAATAATACATCATGATTGATATTATCTTGTGGTTCTGGTAATTTAATTTTTAAAGTTGGTTCATATATTGATGCAGCTATAGATAATTTTAAATTATCAACTAATGCCAACAAGGTATTCTTGTTGCATCCGTATAGATTTAAACTCATGTTTCAGATGAATGACTCAGTTTTATCTAGTTGCAAAAAAAAAATTTCAATCTGATTAGATTTAAAAATTCGGTGATAATTATCGCACAAAATTCCATTCCTCAATATTAACAAGTAGTCTATCAGCCATAGTTTATTAACATTACAAATGATATGATTAAACAGCGATTGTTACGTTATTCTACATCAGGTATAACTATAAATGATCCATATAATAGTCTTATAACAAAATGTACAATAAAACCATCAAATACAAAATCAAATGCTCCTTTATATAATACAACTTATGCATTAAAAGATAATATAGTAGATAATCAAACAACATCAACAGCTGCATCAGAAACTTTATTTAATTATAAATCTCCATTTAATGCAACTGTAACTGAATTGTTATCACAAGATGGTTCAACATGTATTGGAAAAGCTAATTTAGATGAATTTGGAATGGGTTCATCAAATCAAAATTCATATTTTGGAAAAGTTATTAATCCATATGATATAGAAACTGTACCTGGTGGATCATCAGGTGGTAGTGGTGCAGCAGCAGCTGGAGGATTATGTGATTTTGCAATTGGAACAGATACTGGTGGATCAGTTAGATTACCAGGTAGTTATTGTAATGTATTTGGATTTAAACCAAGTTATGGAAGAATTTCAAGATGGGGTGTTATACCATATGCTCAAACTTTAGATACTGTTGGGATTTTAAGTAAAGATTTAGAAATGATTGAAAAAGTTTATAAAGTTTTAAATGTTGAAGATATAAAAGATCCAACATCATTACCTAATGAAGTTAGAAATTCAATTGAAAAAACTAAAACAACTAGAAATTTAACTATTGGTATTCCAAAGGAATTTTTTATTGAAGAAGTTTCAGAAAAAGTTAAAAATACATGGATTAAAGTAATTGAAAAATTTATAGATTTAGGTCATACTGTAAAAACAATATCTATAGATTCAATTAAAAAAACATTACCAGCATATTATATATTAGCCACCACAGAAGCAGCTTCAAATTTAGCAAGATATGATGGTATAAGATATGGCTATACAGAACGACCAGTAAATGTTAATGATAATCCAATGCAATTAATTTATGATAATAGATCAAATTCTTTAGGTGATGAAGTCAAAAGAAGAATCTTATTGGGTAATTATACATTAGGTTCAGATTCTGGTAATCATTATTTACAAGCAACAAAAGCAAGAGAATTATTAACAAAACAAATATCATCATTTTTTAAAAATAAACATGTTTTTTGGCCTGAACTACAAAAACAAAAAGATATTTGTGATTTATTAGTGGTTCCAACAGCAATGGATGTTGCACCTAATTTCGATTCATATTTATTGGAATCAAAAGAAAATGTTTTAAATGAATATGTAAATGATGTTTTCACTGTTCCTGCTTCTTTAGCAGGTGTACCTACAATTTCAGTCCCATTTGATGGTGTTGGTATACAATTAATTGGACAATTTGGAGATGATGAATTTGTATTAAAAGTTGCAAATGAGATAAAGGAATAAATAGTATTTTTATAATTTCTAATAGACTTTATAATATAATAAACTTAATAGAATTGAAAAAGAAAAAAAGTGTATAATGTCATATTTGTAAGTTGAATTATCGTAAAGGTCGTAACATAAAAGTATGAAGCAAGTCTAATTGCTTCTTTTTATTGAGAATTATTGTTGAATATATTCTCATCCTTCATAAATCATTTTCTCCCCAAAAGAGTTAAAAATTCTTCTCTTGTTTTTTGTTGATCTCTAAAACATCCCAACATACAACTAGTAGTAGTAGAACTCCCAGTTTTTTGAACTCCTCTACTAACCATACACATATGAGTAGCTTCAATAACAACTGCAACACCTCTTGGTTTTAATATTTCACTTAATGCCATTGCAATTTGTTTTGTTAATCTTTCTTGTACTTGAAATCTTCTTGAATACATTTCAGCTAATCTTGCTAATTTACTTAATCCTAAAACTCTTTTATTTGGTATATAACCAATATGAGCTTTTCCAAAAAATGGAACTAAATGATGTTCACAAAGGGAATAAATTTCAATATCTCGAACAATAACCATTTCATCATGATCTTCTTCAAATACTGCTTTTTTAATAACATCTCTTATATTATCTTCATATCCCTTTGTAAAAAATAACATAGCTCGAGCATATCTTTCAGGAGTTTCATATATTCCTTCTCTTTGTACATTTTCTCCTAATTCAGTTAATATTGTTCTTACTGCATTTGCAATTTTGTTTTCTCTTTCTAAAGCTTGTTCTGGAGTTTGATCAATTCTTGATCTTGCACCTTGAGATGGCCAAGATAAACCATCTGAATCTATTGGAGGATTTAAAATTAATGGTGATGCTTGTCTTGTTTGTAACGGTGAATTTATATTTGTTTGAGAATTTGAAGAGATTAATTTTGATCTTTTCATAGGTAAGATTGGTCTTGGAGAATGATGACCATTAATTTGTTCTATTGATGGTTTATAATGTTCTGGTATAAGTTTTGGTGATGTTTCTTGGGGAAGTTGTCGTTCGTCGTGCTCGTGCTCTTCATTTTGCAAATGTTGGTTGTCTTCTGCTATATGAGTCTTATCTTCTGCATCAGCCATTATTGCAATTGACTTTGATCAGTTTATTGAACAGGGGATTAGGACCAAGATGTTACTAATAGGCTAAAAAAAATTTGTCTCAGAATTTTCATCTGCATTCGTCATCTGCGGCTTAGATCTGACTCACATCAATTTCTCATAATACTATGAAATATTGGTTTTAGTTGATCATATTGTATATATGTCATGATCAACAGAAGCCGTGATCTATTTTGAAATGAGCAAAAACGTATTTGCATTGATTATTATTGAATGTGGGTGAAATTGAACTTAGTTAGACCAAATTCATTTAAATTGGACCGAGACTGGAAACCCTGAGTCGGGAATTTTTCAAATTTTTTCCCCAGATTTCATTCATTCATCAATTTCACCATCATATGCAATTGATCATTAAAAATGTCTGTGAAGGGAGTAACGCCAATTGAAAATACATTGGAGATAAATTGGCAAGGTGATCAAAAATCCATATATCATAATATCTGGTTAAGAGATAATTGTCATTGTTCTGAATGTTACTATCCAATTACCAAGCAAAGACTTTTAAATTCTGCAACCATCGATATAAATATAAAACCTAAATCGGTAAATGTGAAGGAGGGAAAAGTTGAAATTGTATGGGATACCGATCATTCTTCAACATATGACGTGGATTGGCTTAGAATACATTCATACAATCCGAGATTAATACCATTGGATAAGAAATTAAAAGATGATGATGATGTATTGAAACAAAAATTATGGCAAGTTAAAGATATAAAAGACGACTTACCACAGGTTGATTATAACAAAATAATGCAATCGTCGGATGAAACAGATAATGAAGAAGCAATCAAAGAATGGCTTTTACAAATTCATAAATTTGGTTTCAGTCTTATAAATAATGTACCAATAAGTCCCACAGATACAGAAAAGTTATGTGAAAAATTAAATTATATTAGACCAACTCATTATGGAGGATTTTGGGATTTTACAGCAGATTTGTCTAAAAATGATACAGCTTATACAAATTTTGATATAAGTAATCATACTGATGGAACTTATTGGTCAAATTCTCCTGGTTTACAATTATTTCATTTATTATATCATGATGGAAAAGGTGGTACAACTTCATTAGTTGATTCTTTTAAATGTGCTGAAATTTTAAAAGCAAAATATCCTGAAAGTTATGAAATTTTTTGTAAAATACCCGTACCTGCTCATTCAGCAGGTGAACCAAAAGTTTGTATTCAACCTGATATACCACAACCAATTTTTAAATTAGATCATCAGGGAAAATTAATTCAAGTACGATGGAATCAAAGTGATCGTTCAACAATGGATTATTGGGAAAATCCTGAAGATGTTATAAAGTTTTATAAAGCTATTAAAAATTGGGTTGAAATAATAACATCACCAGAGAATGAATTATGGTATCAAATGAAACCAGGTCAATGTTTAATATTTGATAATTGGAGAATTTTCCATTCAAGAAGTGAATTTACTGGCCAAAGAAGATTATGTGGTGCATATTTTGAAAGAGATGATTTTATATCAAGATTAAAATTGTTAACTTTAGGAAGAGAAGCTGTATTAGATAGTATATAGTTATAGTAAGTATTTATTATTATTTAAATGAAAATTGGAATCTTGTCCCAATCCCATGGATCATTAAATCTTAAACCTAAATCAAGTTTTGTAATTTCTTTCATTTCTTCTTCACTTAAGTTAAAATCTAAAACTTCTAAATTTTCAATCATTCGCTTCTTATTATTTGATTTTGGTATAACTGCTATATTCCTTTGAGTTGTCCATCTTAATAAAATTTGTGCTGGAGTTTTATTATGAGCTTTAGCAATTGCTTTTATAACATCATGATCAAAAAGTGTAGGTGTATCAAGAGCTTTTTTACTTTTTAATTCCAAAAATGATTGTGGACCAAAAGATGAATAAGCAGTAATAGCAATCCCTTGCAGTTGAACATATTCAACTAATCTTGGTTGTTGTAAATAAGCATGATGTTCAATTTGTAATACTGCAGGTTTAATTTCACAACCTCTTAATAAATCTTGAATTAATGCACCTGAAAAATTAGAAATACCAATTGATCTAACTTTACCCTTTTTAACTAATGATTCCATTGCTTTCCAAGTTTCAAGTAATGGTACATCTTCAAAATGAAATTTATCATCCAGTAAAGAACATGTAAAACCAGGTGGATATTTCTTATCAATGGGAACATAAGCTTGAGCAATTGGGAAATGAATTAACCATAAATCTAAATAATCTACTCCTAAATCTTTCAAAACTTTATCACAAGCTTCTTCAACATGATTTGGATGATGATAAGAATTCCATAATTTTGAAGTTATAAATAATTCTTCTCTAGGTATTGATGATTTAGCAAATGCTTTTCCTAAAGCTTCACAATTTCCATAATCTTGAGCTCCATCAAATAATTTATATCCTACTTCTATTGCATCTAATACTACTTCTGTTGCTTTCGATTCATCTAATTTCCAACATCCAAATCCAACTAATGGCATTTCATATCCTGAATTTAATTTGATACTCATTTTGGGAGAATTTACTTTGCAATTGAGTTAAAGTGGGGGTTTTTTAATGAGGATATCAAAGTTGAAAAGTGATAATTTGATTGTCCTAATTTGATTCGGAGATTTTTTAACCCGCTTCAATATAAAGAACACAAACTTGACCTAATTTTGCAGCCAAAATTAGTCAAAAAAATCTATTCAATTTTTCGTGCCTTCAAAGCTACTTATCGAGGAGAGGTGTTCACTCCCAGTCTTAAAATTTTGAACAAGACGATTGTTCTGTTCTTTGAAGTGAATTCCTGAATGTGGTGAACTTCAATTGGTAAGGAAATGCTCATGTTGTGATATTGAGTAGAGCAAAAATGCATGAATCTATTATCAACATAAAAGAATTGGCAATATCATAATAATTTAAGAGTCTGAGCTCTTTCAACACCAGCTAAATACACTTCAAAGTGGTGAAGCATACGATTAATTGTTTGACTACAAGCTCTTACTTCTTATCTTCAAAACGCGTACTATTTGCTTTCTAGTAACTACCAATTGTTGAAGCAACTACCAGTTGCAATTCTGTATAATTAAGAAATATTACACAAACTCCCAATTAGTTTAAATTGTAAATAAAACGAAAAGAACAATTGAAAAAAAATCAAAACAAGGAAAGAAGTAAAATAAAATATTTAAACAACCATTTAATTTACCACAACATCTTACATTCGCTTCATTTCAATTTAATTATATTCATTCGTTTACTATCACATCCAAATTATGTTAGAATTGGAAGAATCAAAAAGTTTAATACATAATATTTCACCATCAACAAGTAATGATTTATTTAAATTAGAGAATGGTATGTAAATTGTTGAATCTACAGTTGGAAGAAGCGTGTCTTCTTTGAATTTATCAAATTCAATCACGATTGATTCACGGATTGATAACCAAAGCTTAGGATAGATTGCTCCAAACTGAATTAAATACTAACTACTTATCAGAATCAGTGGATCTTTTACTAAAGGAAATGAATTACGATATGGAGAATTTAAATGATGATAATGAAACTCTTAAAAATAATAAAGATAATCAAAATATATCGTTATCAATCAATAATTCACCGACAAAACCATTAAATTTTCCAAACAACCAAGTTAAATCTACTGATCCAAATTCAAGTTCAGATACATATACCAGCGAAGATCCACAAATGAAAACTATGGAAAGTTTAAAAACTTCAATGGATAGAAATTTTGATATTGATACATCAATGGAACTTGGTAAAACAATTTCAATACCTCAATCATATGTTGATAATAATGGTGGTGATTCACCTGTTGATGAATTTTCTTTCAAAACACCAATGACTTCAGTAATTGATTTGACAAATAAACATCAACAACCTCAACAAAATCAAGAATATGAGCAACAAGAACAACGGAACTACACGAACTTATCTCCCAACAAATCAATATTACGTAAAACACCTAAAGCTTCACCAAAAAAAGTTGCATTCACATCTACAAATCCTGAAATTCATCATTATCCTGATGAAAATTTTAATCGAGAAGAATCTCAAGAATCAGAAACAATTCCTGCATTATCTTTACAAATACCATTACAACATCATTGGACACAACCTCATTTAGATCAATCTGAAGATGAAAGTGTTGCATCATCACCAGCTCCACCACCACCTCCTCATACAACTAAACCTACATTTGCTGAACTTTTAAATCAAAATAAATTAAATAATAATCAAGATGATGATTTAGATACTGAAACTTTAACTGATTTAAAATTAAAACATGATAATTTTAGTAATTTGTCATTAGATGAAAAAATGAATAAATATTTAACCAATAAGACACAGTCACCATTATCATCAAATCAAAATGAAGATATTGAATTGGATACTCATTTAATTCAATTAGAACAAGCATCAAAGAATAAAACAATTGATAATATACATGAATTATCATTATCATTACAAACTTCAAATTTTAATATAGAAAATCCATTAGATTCATTGCAAAAATCACCAGATCAACAATTAAGATCCTCAGGATCTTCTCAATCTTCATTACAATCTTTAAGAGATACTAATCGTGGTTTACATTCAATACCTGGTTCACCAACTAAAGCTAATAGAGGTTTAGAATTAAAAGATGGTATAAAAGGATTACCTAATTCAGTTGTCGAAGCTTTATTACCTCAAGATGAACCTACTGAAAATATAAGTTCGAGGCCATTGTCAAGTAGTAAGGAAAATGTTAATGAAAGATTTGGCTCAGAGGATCATATGGATTCTTATGATAGATCATTTAATTATACAGAACAATCTATTTTAAACCTTTTGAATAGTGCTTCTAGTTCCAAAGTTGCAGTTAATAAATCAACTGAACAAGTTCAAGTTAAAAAGGAATATGAAGAGGAAGCAAATGAAAAAGAACCAATACCCGAAGTGAAAGTTTTGGTAAAAACTGAAAATGATTCATCTTTACAACCAAATTTAGCTACAAAATCATCAAATTTCCAACCACAACAAGATAAGCCTGAATTTGCAAGTCAAGTATTTAAATCAGAAGAGAATATTCATGTGTCAGCTTTCACTGGTTTAACTCCAGATGAAGAAATAAAACGATTGAAAGCAGAAGTTCAACCTGAAGATAATCAAGTAGAATCCGAAGATGATAGTAGACAACAAAATGAAGAATCAAGAATGTCAATTAGATTTCAAATGGATAGTGATTGGAAGTTAGAAGATAGCCATGATGGAGACAAGGAAGACAATGATGAAGTAAGTAGAATTCTCGATAAACCGGAGATAACCAAAGATTCAATTAATTCTTCACAAAATGATCAATATGAAGACGCGTCAAATGAAGTCAGTCAGCAATTAAATGATCAACCAACTCAAACTTTAGCTCCTCCAAAATCTCAAGACGAAGTACACTTATCAACTAATCAACCAAAAGAAGACTCCGAAGCTCTAGCTAATTCATCAAACATTGCTGAACCAAATGAAGATATCACACTTCCTCCCGTTGAAACTAATAACTATTCTTCCTTCGATGAAGTGACTAAAAATCTAGATACTGTATCAAGTTTTGAACAATCATTATCTGCTGAAAATGATATTGATAAAAATAAAATGGATAATTTCATTTCTATATGGCATAGTCAAGAAAAGCAAAAAAGAAAACAAATTCATAAAGTTCCAACAAAACAAATAATAGCAGCATATCAAGAAGAAGTTAATCAACGTTCAAATTCCGTATCTACAATTCAAACAAAATTACCACAATCAATCAAAAATCACAAAAAATTTAAAGAAGTTCATGTTATGTCAAGAAGAGTTGTTAGTCCTGATTTTGATCATTTACAAATTTCTGGATTTTTACCTGAATTATCAAGAGATTCTGGTTTTAATGATTTACAATTTTCAAACTATGCAAATTCTCAAAGACATTTAAGTTCTAATTCTTTAAATACTAAGAATGTTTTATCTAATATTGAAAATTATCCAAATGTTATTGAACCACCACAACCAAAATCATATAGTGAGATTCGACAAAATAAAACAATACCTTCATCACAACAATTGGAAAGACAAGGAATTGATCAATATCCTAGAAATCCAAATAATAAAAGATCAAGATTCAGAGTACCTACATTCGAAATTAAACGTTCATCTTCAATATTATCACCAAGAAATATGTATGATGATATTTTTGATGATGTAATTAATAAAAAACCTCCAACTATAAGAGCAGAAGGAATGAAAACATTACCAAGTATGGATAAAGATGATGTTAAACGTATATTATCAACAAGAAAAGGAATGACTCATGATGAGTATATTAATGCAAAATTTATTGAACAAAAACCTAAAAAAAATTCAATTGTTACTGAAGCTGTAGATTTATATGATAAAATTCAACAAACTGCATCAATTCATGATACAAATTTAGATTCTCCAAAATCACGTCAAGTTTCAAATACAATTGGTGCTGATGTATTACCATATTTAGCTGATGAATTAAGAAAATCTCCAAGAACTTTATTATCTAAAGATCAAGTATTTGAAAATGAAAAAGTATCATCAATACCTCAGTCACCAATAATAAATTCAAATATAAACAATACATTACCTGAACCTGATTTTGCTTTAGATTTTTCACCTGAAAATTTTCAACAAGAACAATCACCTGAAATTGATGAATTGGAAATACAATCAAATAATAAAGATCCAATATTTATAGATGAGAAAGTTTCACCAAAATCTGAACCTAAATTCCAATCTGTATTACCCAGTACTCCAATAAAAGAACATGATTTAACAACAAGAAATACGAACTCATCACCAACTAAAAGAAGTCCTATTAAAATTGGTTCTCCTGTAAGATTAATTAAAAAAGATGGTTCAATTACAGGTATTGAATCACCTGGTAGAAATAATAATAAAGATATTTATCATCATAAACCTAAACCATCATTTAATGGTAATGAAATTAATAATACTAAATTGAGAGATATAGCATTGGAAAATAATTCAAATTTGGAAGATCCAAATCAACATATTCCAAGTACAGTTTCAGTTCCATCTGAATTTTCTGAATCCAGGCAAGATCTGAATCATCACCACAAGCAACATCAACATCACAAATCAGAACCTAAAGTTATTGATGATAAAGTTCCAAATGTTCAATTACAAGAAAATGGTAAATTATTTTTTAGAGTTGTGGGATTGAAAAACATAAATTTACCAGATATGAAATCTCAAAAGGGAAAATTTTCTATTACATTAGATAATGGAGTACATTGTGTTAAAACACCACAATATGAATTAAATTCAAATGCTATACCTATAGGTAAAGAATTTGAATTAACAGTTTCAAATTCATTACAATTTATTTTAACAATGAAATGTCAATATCCCAAACCTAAAGGAACTTTAGTTGAAGTAAGAGAAAGAAAAGTAGTCAAATCAAAAAATAAATTTGCAAGATTATTTGGTTCAAAAGATATTATAACAACAACAAGATATGTACCAAGTGAAGTAAAAGATATTTGGGCTAATAAATTTGCCATAGATGGTTCATTTGCAAGATGTTATGTTGATTTTGCTCAATTTGAACAACAAATAACTGGTAAAGTTGCAAGATTTGATCTAAATTGTTTTAATGAATGGGAAACAAATAATTCAAAACAAAGATTAAAACCATATAAAATTGCAGAATTAGAAGTTGAAATGTTATATATTCCTAAATCAGAACCAAATGAAATATTACCAACAAGTATAAAAAGTGCATATTCATCATTACAAGAATTAAATAATGAGTTATCAGTATATAATGAAGGTTATTTACATCAAGAAGGTGGGGATTGTGAGATTTGGAAAAAAAGATGGTTTAAATTATATGCAACATCATTAATTGCTCATAGTGAATTTAATCATAAAACAAGAGCCAAAATAAATTTAAATAAAATTATTGATGTTCAATATATAGATAAAGAAAATTTAAATCATTTACATCAATCAAAGAAAACTTCTGGTGGTAATGGTGGTGGTAGAAATTTTAGTGATATTTTATTAGTTGAACATTCATTTAAAATAAAATTTGGAAATGGAGAAATTATAATATTTGGAGCACCAAATTATAAAGAAATGAAAAAATGGATTGAAATTTTAGAAAATATTATAATTAGAAATAAAATTAGAAGACAACCTTGGATTAAATTAATGATGAAAGAACAATTGATAAATCAACAAATTAATCAATAATAAAGCACTTTCAACTTTTTTAAAAATCTGGTCTCATAATTATGATTTCTTTAAATAATTCATATCAAGTAAGTTATAACTGAATATACGGAAATATAGATTTAATATGTAAAAATAACAACTGAGCTGTCTAAACAATCATTGAAAAATCGATTTCGAAACACTAAAATAAATACTTTGCTTAATTCTAAATCCATCTACTGACAAAGGTCTATTTTTCCTCCTTACTGTACTAAAATTATCTTGGAATGTTATTCGATTTATCTTACACGATACAATCCTGAAACCTCTGTTGGTAGCGTGAACAAAACTCGTCTACATTTTTTTAATTGACAACCAAAATTTAGTACACGTCTAATACTTTCTTATTTATCCATAATCATAACAGCACAACATCCATGGTCCAAGTCAGCAAATGAGAATATTTCTTAGTTTACCAAAAGAAGTTTTAGCGTTGGTCATTAAGTTCATTGATGATGAGAAAAAGGTAGAAGAATTAATTTCAATTCCAGATTTACAACCTTTAGTATTAAGAGAACTATATACCAATTTCAGATTAAATCGTTTCACTCTACCAGCAAAAGGTGATAGCTCCATCAAAAAATTGGTATCACTTTATGAAGATTATAGATTTATACCTTCGAAAATTATAGGTGATGTTTTTAAAATTAATCATATACTAGATCTAAATAAGGAACGAAAAGGATCAGGTGCTGAGCGAACAAGATCTCGTGGAGTCACTAATGATAGCGTTAAACAGCTGGCTCTAAAAGCTGAAAGTGCCGATTATAGCAAGATCAATTTTGAGGTTATGATCCCATCATATTGTGAATATGCTGAATTTAAAAAAGTAGCGGAGAAAGTAAATATTATTGGGATATTGATGGAGCCCAAAGAAACGAGACAGATGTTTCGACATCCCCCTTTTGACCCTAATGAGTTGGCATTATACTCGAATACTATCAAGAATATGGAATTGGAATCTTTGACTACATTTTATACTGATACATTTAAGATTCCACTCTCGGTATCTTTAAAAAAATTAAGACTAGAAAATCAATCATCAGGTCTCAATCTCAATTTAAGCAGTTTAGTCAATCTAGAAACTTTCCAAATTGAACACTCCAAAGGTGTTGATTCATTAGCCGATTTTCAACTTCCAAGTTCCATTACATATTTGGAGATCGAATCATGTGATATAATATCACTAGGTGATTTAAAGAACAATTTCAAGTTAAAAAAGATTTTTATTTATGATTGCAAGGAACTTCTTGATTTTGTTAAATGTACTTTTCCGGAATCGATGGAAGAAATATTTTATTGCCATAGTACCCGTAGTCAAAAAGTAGCTGCATTGAAATTGGACGTATATGAGGGAAGAAATACTGCATTCGATAAATCTCATTTTTCTGACGATGGATTATCACTAGGTGCTAATTTCAGGTTTCATTTCAATTGAAAAGTTTATATATCGAGCTGACTGCTGTTTCATTATCATTGGGATCCAAACTAAATTTGAAAAGTCTTGATAAATTGACCTTACACTTCGTTGATATTGATTTTACTGCATTGTTACGTTCCTTGCCCCTGCTGATGATGAGATTTGTAATCTGTTCAAGTCACGTTTTTAACGTTGAAGATGTTGCATTATTTCCTGAGCTGGAGATTATCGTTCTTGCTCGAAATACTTTTGATGATACTTTCAAAACGAATTTCAATAAATTGAAAAAATTGAAGACTTTGGATATCGGAGACAATTGGAGTGGCTCTGATGAAGTTACTGCGGAAAGTATTGATCCTTGCCAACTAATGATACAAGAGTCAATGGATGCAAGTACTTTAGTTAATGAATCAAATAGCGGAAAAATAGAAACTGTCACTGTTCATTCATCAAATATAACTCGTATAATTCTTCAACAACCTGGTTATGAATATGGAGAAAAACGTCACAATGATTTCCAATATCCTCGACTTTTGCTAACTAATTGTGGTAATTTGAAGGAACTAGATATACAAAATTTGGGATTCCATATATTAAATCTTGATTTTTTACCGAATTCATTGGAAAGTTTAAAGGTCAACGATATGAAAATAAATTTGATTAGTGGAGATTTTTACAAATTCAGTGCATTGAAAGATATTGATTTGACAAATAACAATCTTAATTATTCCATGTTATTCAATAAAAACTTTCCTACAAGCTTAGAAAACTTGATTTTATCGGAAAATAATATTGAAGACTTGACATGCTTACATTTAGATAATTGTGTAAATCTTCGAAAATTAGAATTAAAAAAAGTAACTGGGCTGGCTAAGCCAAAAGGTGCAAATGAATTGAAAAAGATGTTTATCAAATTAGTGAGCAACGTTGGTGATAAATCCAATCACGCAATTTTAACAAATCGGAAGTCCCAAAAAATCTTTGAAATCAAGAATGGTGCAGACCTCATGAAAGATGTTAAAAAAGAGTCAAATTCAAAGCCGAAGAGGAGAAAAATATAATAATTAATTTCCAGACTGACAAAATACTAAAACGAGCTGTTTTAACGGGAATCATTCGGGCCCCAAACCTGAGATGCGGTAAACAGATCGCTAGAATTACTATTTATATTTTGCATAAATCAAATAAACTTAACGAATAATGATTATAATTTTATACTAATTAAAAGTTGCTACTATTTATTATTGCATAATTCAAATAAACGTAATGAATAATGATTATAATACTATTAGAAGTCTTTCATTTTCTCTGATTAGCAAATTGAATCTAAATATGCTATTAAATTTTCGAGTTTTTGAAATAAATTTATTTTTGTTGTTGCGGCGGTGGAGGTGGTGAAAAATTCGGCATTCCGGGTGGCATTTGCATTCCAGGAGGTATCTGCATTCCTGGTGGCATTTGCATACCTGGAGGAAACATTGGTGGCATACCAGGTGGAAATTGCATACCTGGAGGTAATTGCATTCCAGGTGGGAACATATTCATTGGAGGTGGTGGAGGATTACCCATTTTATTATCATTATTACCATTGTTATTCTGTATACTTGGACTTGCAATTTTACTTATATCAGTACCACTACCAGGACCTTTCATTATATTATTTAAAATTTTTTGAGGATTAAATTCACCTCTTAATTTATCTTGTTTATGACAATATGCATTCCATGTTAATTCATCAAATCCAAAATTAAAATAATCTGATATATCTGCACCTGGTGCTCTCCATGGTTTTACTTTAAATATTTCAAGATCTAATTGAGTTAATGGTTTCCCTTCTATTTCAGGATTTGCATTTATATCAATTTTTGAAGTTGTTGTTGTAGTTGCTGATGGTAAAACTGAAGTCGGTTGTGGAGTTCCTGTAGATGATGATGGTTGTGCTATTTCTGATAGTATATCATTTCCTGGTACTGATGTTTTAGTAGTAGTTGTATCTCCAATTATAATATCTATATCATCCTCTTCATCTTCATCATCTTCCTCTTCTTCATCCTCTTCATTTTCATCATCTTCTTCCTCATTATCCTCATCTTCTTTTTCTTCCTCGTTCTCATTACTTGTTCCAGTCTCTTCTAGTCCGTGCTTCTGTTCTTTCTCTATACTTTCTTCTTGATCATTTGATGTTGTGGTTGATTGTGTCTTTTGTTTTTTTGTTACTGGTTGAATACTTTCTTCTTCTTCTTCTGACCCATACAAATATTTATCTTCATCATCTGAATCGGCCATCTTTCAATAATCGAAATAAGCTTGTCAGGGTATTTGTCTTCAACGATTGATAATGGTTAATGATAGTCTATCAAGTATTTTCATTTAGTCTGTATATTACCATACCAGGTTGCTACCAACTAGTTGATACCCTTTTTGTGCTGATACGTCAATTGAAAACTATTACGAAAAACGTCAGAAAACTTGACATATTATGCTAAATATTTACATTGAAATTAAGATGAATGGCTATCGAACCATAATATCAAAGACTACTTCTGTCAAAATTTAGTTTAACAACCATATGGTCTAATTAAGAATCAAATTAAAAAGAATTATTTTCAACTTTCAAGAAATCAAACATATTGATCCTTTGCACAAAATTTAGATTTTCAAACTTTTGGTGTCGACATAAACACATTGCAATACGATTAAAGATGAACAACGTAGAGGAACATATTATTGATGGATATGATAAATCAAAGGAACTTTTGAAAGAAAATTCAGCATCAGAAAGGACGGTGAAAAAATTGTCAAATAGGTTGACTGAAAAAACTATCAATTCACACAACATCCCAATCAAAACACGCAAAAGGAGGAGAGCGGAAGTAGAAGGCGAACCTAAATATTCTAAGGAGAAATTTGGGAATAAGAAGAAATTCAAAAATCATGCAGTTGTGACAAATGTTTCAGAATTATCAAATATAGGATCAAATAAGAATGCTAAAGGGGACGAAAACGTTGTAAACACCAAAATTGAAAAGAATGTGGGGGTTGTTCTTGATTGCAATATAAGCATTGATGATTCTGACAATGATAATGATTTTGACAACAGTCTTGATAATGGTGATGATGTTTTTGATTCTGATTCTGACGATAGTGTTGATAGTCAAAGTTATTACGACAATGAAGGTAAGAAATGGACCAAATCTGAAATGAAAGCCCAAGAATTAAAGTTATATAAAAAATTGGAGTCGACCATTAAACATTTTAAACTTGCTTCTGAAATAGTTGAACCGAGTGTTCTTGAAGCAATACTAGATAAAGCCATTAAAAAGATAAAACCATTTTGCGACGAATAAGGACAGTATGTAGGTTTGTTGATATGTGTTTAACAAAATTGTATAACAACTTCGTTAATATCGATCTCTCATCTTATTTCTTAAGGTAAAGTTAGACAATTGATCTAATTAACAATTGATGATGAAAATAAAACACTGATCATTCAACACCGGGATTAGAATGATATCGTTTTAATCTTTTCAATGATAGATACTTGGATACAATCAGATTTACTCAAATGTGATAAAATCTATCACGTTTTCTTCCTTATCTAATTTGTATGAGTGACGTGTTTTACTACCAATGTCGTGAATAATAATTTTAGACGCTATAAAAATTTTTCAGTTGTGAAACATTCAAAAAAAAATATCTACATACATTAATAATTTTTATCAATACTTTTTTTAACAATTACAAAACTTAAATTTCCCAATGGCAAATTAATTTACCATTAACCAAAAGTTTTTTTATTATTCAATATTCAATATTCAAGATTACGTTAATCCACTAATCTACTCAGTCATCATTCTAGTTTTACTACTGATTCAGAATCAAACCATATAAGAAAGAAAATAATTAATCAAGATGTCTTTCATAAATATTTGTCGTGATAATACTGATCCATTTTATCGTTATAAAATGCCACCAATTCAATCAAAAACAGAAGGTAGAGGTAATGGTATCAAGACAGCAATAGTAAATTTATCAGAAGTTGCTAGAGCATTAAATCGTCCACCTTCTTATTTAGTTAAATTTTTTGGTTATGAATTAGGTGCTCAAACTCAAATTGATAGATTTTTAGTTAATGGTGCTCATGATACAAATGAATTACAAGATTCTTTAGATGGATTTATAAATAAATTTGTATTATGTGGAAGTTGTAAAAATCCAGAAACTGATATAATTTTAAAGGGGAAAGATACTTTAGAAAGAGATTGTAAAGCTTGTGGTAAAGTTACTATTATAGATCCAAAACATAAATTATACAGTTATATTGTTAAAAATCCTCCAGATAATAAAAAAGGTAAAAAATCTGCAACTGCTACTGCAAATGTTGTTGGTGGTGGTAAATCAATTAGTGATATTGCAGCAGGACAAGGTGACATACTTAATGGTGGAGGAGTTGATGAAAATTTAGATGTTGAAAACTTTGATGAAGATGATGATTTATTAGCTAAAAAAATTCAACAAGAAGCTGCTCAATTACAAGAATTAAAAATAAAAGATGATGAATGGGCAGTTGATATGTCACAAGAAGCTATTGCTGCAAGAGCAAGAGAATTAGAAGGTTTAAATGGTAGTGGTATAAATGGTTCTTCTTCATCATTAAATAAATTTGATGAATTTGGTGAATGGTTAATTAAAGAATCTGGCAATAATGTAGCTGATTTACCAAATGATGTTGAAATTTATAAAAAAATTGTTGAATTAGATTTAATTGAAAGTTCTGAAATTTTACAAGTATTGGGACAAACATTATTTGATGAAAATATTTTAGAACAAATTGAACCTCATGTTGGTTTATTAACAAAATTAATTAATAACGACCCACAAAATGAAAAATCTTTATTAGGTGGATTAGAAAGATTAATTGGTTTACAATATCCTTCTTTAACTTCCCAATTACCAAAAATATTACATAGTTTTTATGATAAAGATTTAATAAGTGAAGAAATTATTATAAATTGGGGTTCAAAAGTAAGTAAAAAATATGTTTCAAAAGATATTTCTAAAAAAGTTAGAAAATCTGCTAAACCTTTTATTCAATGGTTACAAGAAGCAGAAGAAGAAAGTGATGATGATGATGAATAGTAGCATTGTAAAAGAAGCTGTTTGGGGTCAATTGATTGTTATATAATTCTTTGTTTCATTGTTTTTAGTTCTGATCAATTAAAAAATTAATTATAAATTACTATATTATTTACTTAAATCATCTATTTCGTAAAGTTTTAAATTGTTTTTATTTTTATTATCCCCCATACCATAACTCTATATATGTATTCCCCATTTTTTATTTTTATTTTAGTTTTCTATACTATTTTTTTTTAATTTTGTAATATTTGCTTGTAAAAAAATCATTAGATATCGTCATATTAGTATAAAAATTAAGTCGTTAAAAAAATTTCAGATTCTCATAAATACAGATTTCTTTGAATTGATGGTGTACTTGGATTTGAATTATATCCTAATGCTGCTGAACTTAATGATAATTGTTCTAATTGTTGCATAACTGCTAAATCTTGTGGTGACATTGATTGTTGCTGTGGTGGTGGTGGCGGTTGTTGTGGTTGTTGTGGATTAATAGCTGGACTATTGTATTGATATTGTTGTTGCTGTAAAGGTATATTTGGTTGTGGCATAGCTTGTTGAGCATAATATTGTTTCATATACATTGAAGGTTGATTAATAAAATTTTGTGATTGTTGTAAAGGTATATAAGGTTGTTGTTGAATTTGATTTGAATAATTTGGTATATATGGAATAGGTTGTTGATTTTGATTAAAATTTTGATTTGAATTATTATGATCCTGATTATTACTATGATTTGTATTATTATAATGATTACCATTTCTATTTCCATTTTGATGTGAATTATGATTATTATGATTATGATTATTATTATTTCTTCTATTATTATTTCTTTTAACACTTAAATTTCTATTAATTCTACTACTTGTTAAACCAACTTCATCCATTAATTTTTTATAATTATGATAATTTATAATATTTAATTCCATTAATAATCTTTTTATTATAGGTAAATATGAACTAACTAAATCAGATAAATTTGGATAACTTAAAATTTTATAAATAAATAATGGACCAGAATTTGTTAAATTATTATCACTTTCTTGTAATATAAATTCTAAATTTTCTATATTACCAAATATTGAATCTATAAGTTGCTGTTTTAAATTCTGATCAATTCTTAAATTTAATAATTTTAAAATTGTTAAATTTGATAATTTATGAACACATAAATGCCTGATGTTTGGTAAAATTTTATTAATTAATAATTCAATTTTATTTTCAAAATCAATAAAACTATCTAAATACCATGTAATTAATAAACTTCCATTATTATTTAAAATTAATTCATTTGAAAATTCAATAATTAATCCAACAATTATTAAAATTTGTTCATTTGTAATTAACAGCTTTGTTGGATTTAAAAAATCATAATAAGTTTCTAATATAGTTCTAATACATCTTGAACCAAATCTACCAAAACTTATATCTAAAAAATTATCAATTATAACTTCAAATATAAAATCATTATATGGTGAACCAAATTTTATACAATTTTGTAAAACATAATTACCAAATTGATCATTAAATAATTTTACCGAATATGGTTTTAAACTTGCACCAATTAAATACATTTGTTGATAATTAAATATACTTAAATTTATAATTTTTTGTATTGCCCATGTACCATTTTTATGAATACTTAATTGAGTTAAAAATGGAGTTATTTCTTTAACCATTATTAATTTAATTAATGGATTTTCTATAAGTGTAAATAATTTTTGTATAATTGTATTACCTAAATAATCATAACAAATTTCAGGTAATTCATCTAACATTGCCAATGATAATTCTTCTAAATTAATATTTAATAATTCATTATTATTATTATTAATTTGTTGATTATCTATTGTTATACCTAATTCTTTATTTTCTAAAATTTTTCTTAAATCTCTTAATGTTGGAGAATCAAATTGTCTTATTGATATAGGTTCTGGTAATGGTCCAAAATCTTCTTGATATTGATCATTTGGATATGTTAAACATTTATTTATAATTGATTGAATTTTATTTAAATCAACTTTTATTGTTGTTGATAATTTTTTAATTGATTCCATTAAAGATATTTGAATTGATGATAAATTTGTTTTGTTCGTGGTTGTTTCAAATTCATTTATTTCATCAGATTGTGAAGGAGGTTTAACTGTTTTGTTGGATTCTTGATGTGGGAACTGTGATGAATGATGTTGTTGAGATTGAGATTGTTGTTCTTGTTGATTAATTTGATTTTTATTAGCTGGTTCAATTTTTGCAAAAGCAACATATAAAATAATATTAGGTATAATTTCTAAATGATTAAAATTTGCTTTTAAATTCATTGCAATTTCAATATTTAAACATTCAATTAATGCTAATTTTGAAGTTGTAGTTATAGAAATTTTAATACTTTTAACATTCCCAAATTTATTTTGATTATTATTATTTAAATTATTATTATTTAAAATTGAAAATAATTTTTTTGAATCTATAAATAATGGTAAATTATCAATTAATAAATATTTAGTTGGTCCAAGATTTGTATTTTCAAAATTTGTTGTTATTATTAATGTTCCAAAATCAAAATCATCTATTAAATTTACTTGATTATTATTATTTAATTCATCATTTGTTGATTCAAAAACTGGTAAAAATTGTTGTTGAACTGAATTTTGAGGTTGATGAAATTGTTTTATAGTTGATGATGGAATGTTATTGTTGAAAAGTTGTTCATGAACTGTTGGTGGAGTAGTACCAGAATATGTTTGAGACCTTATCCTTGGAGCACGTTGTTGTTGCAGTTGTTGTGGCTGTAGTTGAGCAACTCCATTACCACTATAATTATCATAATTATTATTATTATTATTATTAGTTAACATAAAATTATCTAATAATAAATTCATATCATTAGTTTTATTTGAAACAGAATTAAAAGGAGAATTTGAAACTTTTTGATTATTTAAATTTTTTATAGATATATTATTATTATTATTACAATTAAATGGATCATTTGATGAAGAATTTATTGTTAAATTAGGTATTGTTGAATTAGTTGTATATGATCTATTTCTTGATGAAGTTTGAATTGGAAAAGAAGTAGAATCTAATGAAGGACTTGAAAATTGATTTCCATTATTTGTATTTGTATTTGTATTTGTATTACCATTTCCATTTGAATCTGAATTATGACTATGATAACTATTTGATAAAGAATGATTATCATCATTCCAAATAGAATGATTTGAAAATAAAGAACCAGATCTAACTCTTTTATTTGGTGAAGAAGATAAAGTGGTAGTATTATTATTATTTAATTGATGAAATGAATTATTATCTATAAAATTATGATTTATTGGTGATGATGAAGAAATATTAATTTCATTATTTGGAATATTTAATAAATTATCATTATTATTAACATTGTTATTGTTATTATTAATATTTGATAAAGAATCAATAAAATGAATTGGACTACTACTACTAGATGATGATGATGGTAAATTAATACTTCCCAGATGATTATGATTATGATTATTATTATGATTATGATGATTTATATTAATAGAATTATTACGATTATAATTATAATTTATAGAATTTATAAAATTATTTGAATTTGATTGATCATTTGAAAAAAATGAAGATGGTAAAGTACCAGATCTAATTCTATTTTGATTTAAATTTGGATTTATATTCAGATTTTCTTTTTGTAAATTTTGTAATAAGGATGGGTTAGAATTAGATTTGGAATTGAGTTGCTGTGATTGTGGTTGTGATTGTTGTTGTTGACATTGTTGTTGATGATGATTTGGTGAAATTGAAGTATTTGTTGAACTATTATTAAATTGATTGTTCATACTATCAATTGTTTACTTCAAAATGGAGGTTAGTTCAAATCAAATATCAATTATGGTAAGGTTATTAAATGGTTGTAAATATAATTTTAGATGAATATAGTAATATAAAAAGTACCTGGGGAATAGTAAATTGATTGGAAAGAACTTCAAAACTTTAGACCAACCAATAGTAAATCTATTAATGAAATTATAACAATTATAAGTTTAATTGATTAGTGTTAGGTTGTTTAGTGATAGGTTGATTTGATATAAGTTGTTATTAGTAAATAGGCTAGTAGTCTAATATATAATTGGTTGTAAAAAATAGTTAATCTAGACTTTTCTTTTTATGTCTCATTTATTAACAAATACTTAAGTACTAGACTATACAATTCGAACTAGATCTACTATTAACAAACTTATGTTTATTAAAGTAACTACTTCTCAGACTATTTGTATGATTAAATAGTTCAAGTGATATACTAGTAATAGAGTTAATTAGTTATAATGTTGTTTATAATGATCATATATTACCATAAATTAAGTCATTAATTTGATAGAAAGAGGAAAATATGTATGAAACTATACAAGTACTGTTAGCAATACAATAGAAATGTAATAAGACAGATGAACAGATACTAGGTCAATGAGCCCATTACTTACTCGAAAATAGGCATAACCCTTTGGGTAAAAAGATATGGACCCAATTATTACTTTAATAATGTGAATGTTCCCCTATTTTTTTTTTTTACCGTTCTTGTAACTACTTTATACTTTAATACTACTAGTAATAATTATACGAAGAAAATACTAAGTTTGAATAGTCATAGTCATACATTTTTTTCTGAATATCATCATATCCAATGGATGATATAACCTTGGTCAAAACTTCTTATAATCATAGTAGAAGTATAATTTCCACCAAATTGAAACTTCAAATATCTTATTTATAAATTGATACATTATCATCGAAATTTTATAATAAATCTCAAAATAAAATCATAAATAATCTACAGATTATCCAAAGTATTTGTACGAATTTTTACCGAAATATCAAAGATGAGTTTCATATTAAAATGGACTTTTAACTTTTAAATAAAAAGCTACAAAACCTTTACTCAACCCAATTATCATGAGTATTTAAAGTATTGGTTGAAAAAGTTGGAGTTTTTGTTTTGAAAATAGTCATTTATCTAAATATAACATCACAACTTTAACTGAATACACTCCTCTACAAACTTTTCAAAGACTATGAAAAATATCCATTTTAATTAATTGATTTATACTCGATCGTGGTATGTTTCTCTATTAAGTATTATTAGCTAGTTTCAATGGTTCGAAATTTGTAATTAATTCTACAGCCTAATTTTATTTAGATTATCTATGGTAAAACTAGTATATTTAGATTATCTATGGTAAAACTAGTATATTCTATTTCTGGTAATTACTGAGGCTCAATTTTTTAAATCGTATTCTCAAACTCTAAATTTTTCACAACATTCGAAAAATGGGATTAAAACTTATCATTAGTCATTGAAGAAATAAAGTATTCAAACAATCATTCATAGTGTGAGTGGATTAAATGATGTCTCATGAGAATCAATATTTATTCTTGAAAATTTAAATTTTATTTAATATGAAAAATCTTCTACAAAGATTTATATAAATAGATTCAGATTTCAAGTCAACTCAACCTTCAATCATACAAGAACATTATATATCCATCTAGCAAAATTTTAATAGCAAAGTTCCAAAGATTAATAGAGATCCATCTATATTTGATATTCTAGCCAATCGAAAACAGCTATTTTCTCCCATAAACTAAATCTAGAGAAAGTCATGAACAAACAAAACTCAAATAAGAATTATATAATTCAAAGTCATCAGAAACAAATTAGTTCAATTGTTTATATTTCAAAATATAAGGTGAATTAATTGAATAATAAGAAGCAAAAAACATGGATTTTAATTAAGTTTGCCAAAAGGATTTACTAAAAAGTATATGATCATGGAAATCATTATGAAAGATACAATTACAAATTATGAATAGTCTAATACTGATCTTTTCCATGGAGAATAAAACTATTATGGTTAATTTTATGAATTTCAAGAGTATATAATAAGAAAGTCATTAAGAAAATACCATCAAAAATTATAAAAGTGCAATGTTGGGGGAAAATACCAATAATGTCAATCTCATTTAAATTGTTATTCATGATGATTAACCAAAATTATTTTTTAAATGTTATAATAATAAGTATTTATTAAAAAAGAATGTGTTTATTATTACGATTCCTTTAAACGATTCAAAATATACTTACTTTTTTTAAATACATAATATGTCTTTTGAAGAATAATCTTTGGAGAAAAATCATTAATTAATTTAGAAAAATCATTAATTATCTAAGAATAGAAAAATCATGATATACATGAATACTTATTTTTTAAATTATACTATGAGACATCCGTCCATCAAACAATCCCACAAATTAACCACTACCACACACACACACACCAACACCTCAAAAATTGTAACCCATTATGTCAAAATAGTTTAAATTAGCAGCAGAATTCTTATATCAACATTATTATTAATAAATTCCATTTCCCATTAATTTGATGTTGAATCTGAACTTTTTGATTTTAACAAAAATGTTAATGAAAACAATAACCTTATTTTAATTTCATTTTAATAATCAACTACACAATAGAGAGGGGATATCTAGGAAAATATATGATCATTATATTTAATAGTATTTTACATTAATAAATTTAACAGTTGAGCAAGATAATTTCGGATCACCCATTAGTTGATTGATTAAATAAAAAATCATTAATTACCGTCAAAATGAATGCAAAAACAAATCGGTTTTGAATACCATCATTAAATTTGAAGAATTTGAAATTTTTCGAAATTTTAAAAACAGACCCTTAAAAACCTTGAAAATTTTGATGACCTTAAAAAGACTGATGAAACAATAAACCAAATAAGGGCGGCACATCAACATTAAAAATACCACAATTCAACATTAAACCAAATAGCTAGATTTTTTTTTAAATGTTGAATTGTGGTATTTTTAATGTTCATGTGCCGCCCTAAAATTATAACTTTTACTGATTCTGTGGACAAAGGGATTTATTGATAATCTTTGACTAATACTGTCCAAAAAATAGAATTTAATTAAGAACCAGAAAATAAGGCAGCATCCCATACCAATCTAAATCATTTTTTTTTCATTTCCCAAAATTGACAGGAGTTTTGAAATTCATTAAATCTTCCATATTTTCTAACAACTCATTTTGTATGATTTTTCTAATTATTTCATCACCAGGCTTATAAACAACACTTTTAACCTGGAGTGAATCGGCTGATTTAATGAAATCATTTTCATCATCTTCGTCTCCTTCTTCTAACAAAACATTTTCATGTTCTAATTCACAACATCTTAATAATTCATCTTCATCTCATTATCACCTTCGACCATATATGATGATGATTTCTCAGTATCGTATATGGTCGAAGGTGATAATGATGAACTAACAGAAATCGATGATAATGATGACTTTTTCATGTTCTAATTTAATTAACAATTCAATATCTTTTTCATAATGATCTAATTCTTCTTCATAATGATTCTTATCTTCGTATATTTCATCGGCTAAATTCATTTCATCGTCAAGACATTTCATGACAATACCTTTGATGATTACATTTTCTACTGGTTGGAAAAGAAAAAGTTTTCTCTTACTGAATCTGAATATTCTTCTTCTGATAATAATAAATATTCAACTTCTTCAAAACTAAATTGGTAATCTTCTACTGATTCTTGATGAAAAAATATTTCGCAGATGATGAAGAATCAGTAGAAGATTACCAATTTAGTTCTTCATCATCTGCCAAATATTTTTTCATCTTCTTTATCTGTTTCGTCATAATATGATGATAAATCTTCTTCTTCTTGATCTTCTTCCAAATTAGTAACAATCTTTTTACATAAATGAGATTGTTACTAATTTGGAAGAAGATATTGTTGTTGTTGATTTTGATGATGATGATGATGTTGTTGTTGTGACTGATTAGATTCTTCGTCAGCTGAAGGTTGTTGTGGTGATGGTTGTGATTGTGGGATTTGTTAAAAAACAGAGAAAAGAAAAAACTTGTGGGGGATTTATATTAATATAAATAATAAATAAATAAAATAAATAATAATAATCTTTAGAATATGAAACACTCCTTATAATTCTTAACCAATAATATTTTATTTTGGTAGCAGGTCTGTTATACATAATAAATTTTTTTAAAACTGTTAATTGAGGGGAAAACAAATCCTAGAAGCGAAACACCATAAATAAATAAATGAATTTTTTACATGGATAAAAATTATCAAATCTTCTTTCATAGCACCAACTTGATATTCTTGAATGCTATTTGTATTGGGTACAATTTAATAAAGTAACTCTTTTAGTACTAAGTGTTTTGTATTATGTTCCAAGTTGTTTAAGGACTTGGAATAAAAATTCATGAACTTAATTCGTTGGAATGACTACCAATTGCGTGATATTTTGACCAAAAATTTTCACTATTAAAATTACTTAGGCTAAGAGAATGTATAAAAATAGTTGGACAATTCAAAAACTCCAAACTACATTTGCTCAACCAACATCTCAATAGAGACAGTAATGAAAAAAAGACTCATCACATCATGCTCAGGAACCCATTAAATATTATCACAATTTAAATTTTTTGCTGGAATAAACCTTTTACAGTCTCTGTATTCGAAAATTTTTTATCATGTTCGATGTAAACATCATGAAAGAATGATATTTTGCAGAATCATGTTTCAAAGTTTGAATAATTTCCGAAATTGTAAGAAAACCAAAGTTTATGTCATAGTTAATATTTCGTCAATACCATTAGTTTGTAACTTAGTCTTGAAAATTTATGAATCGATACAAGTTTGCTCATCTTTGGCGATAGGAAGTGAAGAACAAACATAAAGATTATACGTAAATGACTACTGGTGATAGCAAATATCAACAGAGATTTGACTTTATTTTATGCCTAATTTGTTGCTGGGAAGCAAGACTTACTTCAATTTAATAAACCTCACTCGAAATCAGCTAATCCCCCCCTAACATGATATAAAAGAAAGTCCAGCATGATGCAAACAAAGTAAGATTGGAATATAGATGGAGGTATTCTATTCCCAAGTGTTTATGACTTAGAAAAAACAGTGGAATGATTGATAGCTAAACGGAATATCTTGAACCCTTTTTGAGTATTTCAAAATTGTACAATGAAATGACCATTAACAGACATTGCTAAAAACTATTAGTAGATATAATTAGTTAAGTAATATCATATTAACTAAATACACTCAAGGTGTGATATCGGTATACTATTTCCTAATTGTTTCATTAATGAATTTTTTGAATAATACTCAAGATTTATGAGGATTTACAATTTCTTAAATGTATCATCTTCATAGTTTGGAGAAAAAATCATTAATAATGAAAATAAGAATGATCTGAACTTAAAAGAAATGTAAAGCTTAATGTGGCTCACTTCGTGGGTGAAGCAATTTATAGCATTTTTGAATTTGAACCGATCTTTTGAATTTGAAAATTTGGGAATTTTAATATAAGTCAATAATTGCTCATCGATTTTTAAAAATTGGTGTCTGTTGCAGGAACTTTGCTCATGAAGAATCAGAACTTGAAAAGAGAATCTGCCTTAAAGAGGCGGCATTTGGGGTTTGGAACAATTTTTGGAATTCAATTTCTGTTATACTCAACTTTGAAATATTTAAACTCAGTTATGGACTTGGTTATGAAAAGATTGTTTATGAAAGGTTTGAAAATCGAAAGTTTGGTAACGATGGCTTTGGGTAGGGAAATTTTGTATATCTGATCTGTGATCAATGTGTTGGTAATTTCACCTTGATTTGATCATTAAAAATCAAGTTTTAACACTGAATAATTTAATTCACGGCAGAAGCATTATATTCGGACATCCTGAATCTAAGAACATGTTAAGCATGGATAGATGGACTAGTATTTCATCCAGATATCGATTTCGTACCAAAATCAAATTTTGTAAATTTCATCTTGAATTAGTATTCCATTATCAATTAGTGCAGGTGTATTGTGAAACTGACGGCCGTGAGTTTGTATAGACAGAATTAGAATCCTTAAGTCTGTTAAGCATGGCATGTTAGGCTTGATTTCATCACATTCCAAATTTTGCACCAAAAATTCATTTTGGGAATTTCACCTTGGCTCAATAATCAATCAACAATTAGTGCAGGTGTATTGTGAAACTGACGGTAGTGACATGATCTAGTCACATTCAGAATCCTTAAGTCTGTTAAGCCTGGCTCGGTGGGACGCAT